AACTATTATCAACGCAGTGTTGAGGCACTCTTAGAATTTGGAGAAAGATGGAAAACAAGTAGCTAATTTTAATAGTAAAATTTCCAGCAAACTTTCTTCAGACAGAAAACTGGAGTTTTTTTTTTTTTTTTTAAGGAAAGTGTGTATGTTCCTAAGTGCGGAAATGCCTTAAAAAATTGACATTTGTTATTTTCCAGTGCAGTTATCAGCTTGCTCTAAGTCACCCAATGATAAACCTGCTGAATATGACACTGCCATACTTAGTGAATTTACCACCTCTTTTTAGCATCTTATTCTTTTTGTCCCCTCATCCTATTTTTTCTTTTATATATATTTTACATCATTCTTCATTTTTTAAAATAATATAGTAGTTTATTTTTTACATCATTTTGTGCCTTTTTCCATCTCAGATGTAATCCCCGTGGGCTTCCCATCACCAAATCACCCATGTGCCATCACCAAGGTCCAGTGCACTTCCCTCTACTTACTGTTTTTGATCCCATTCCCCATTCTACCCCCATAAAATGTCTCTGGTATATAGTTGCTCATTATTATTATTATTATTATTTTCTCCCCTGGTCCTTTATACTCCTGCTATGAGTGAAACTATCTGGTAGTTTTCCTTTCGTTTCTGGCTTATTTCACTAAGCATGATCCCTTCACATCTTACTCTTAAACATAAATGAAAACAAAAGAGTCGAAAGGCCTTTTCACCCACCCTGGATCAATGAAGGACAATCTCTGTAAAATGCAAATTCCAAATCAGTAGGTTGAGAATGCAGTTCTGACAAGCTCCTAAGCCATGCCTATAGGGGTCCATGGCATGTCTACTCACAGTGAGTAGACAGGCTGTAGTTGCTTCTTCCTATACCCATTCCCACCTTTAGAGTATGATTTTATAGACTATTATTTGGGTTTGGGAATGTTCAGAATTATTTCTATGTGAATTAATGGATGGTCTCCTTTGATCCCAAACAACATTTACAAAGGCACACTAAAAAAGAATTTTTGGGGAAAACCTGTAAGTGCAAGTCAAGAGTCCAAAAGGCCCCATTATGAATTTAAGATCTGTAGGATGCCATTGATAATACCAGTGTGACCTAAGGATTTCATTTTAATGTAAAAAGTGTATAAGGGCTTCCTTAGGAATATTCTCATAGTCAGTTTCTTTCCTCAGTGCGAAGTAGCTTCCAGAGCATGTCCTCCTTGATCCTGTTGCCTCAGCAACACCTCATGAAGAGACTGTTTCTTTTGGATTGCCTTCCCTGGAAGACTCTTGGATTTAAATCTAATCTTGCTCTCCACTTATGCATGTGAGTTCTTCATTGCTTCCCAGAGTTAGTTTGTCTTGTCCTCCAACATCAGTTTGACTTTTGCCTCAATTGCTAACTGCAGGTCTGCTATGTATGCCACTCAACATTCCCAATGCATGTCTGTTCTGGAATCTTCTGTAAGACATGAGTTTAGGTAGCCTTGTTTATCCTTGTACCAAATATTTTAAGATCAGTATTTTTTTCCTATCATATCTTGCTTTAAAGAACCCAAACCCATGTGGTACTTAGGGAGAAGGATTATTATATTTATTTGCATGATGGTGATAACAACAGTTTATATTCGATGAACAATTATTATGTGCCAATCAGTTCAATCAGACCAAATGTGCTAAATATTTTATATGCATTCAGTGTTGTTATTGTTTTGTGATAAAGAAACAATGGCCAGGAAGTGATGGACCTATATTTGAATCCAGATGAATGAGCCTCAGAGTCCATGTTCTTAAGCCTTGAACCATATGGTCCTATAGACATGAGTTTGGAGAGAAGAATCTGCAATATATTCTATTTTGCTATCTTGTCATCTCATAGCATATAAAGGGCACATCAGGTGCAGAATATTTGTGGAATGCATTCTGGATTTAGGGAGAAAATAAGAGCTTTGCTTGTCAATGAAAGATGGAATTCCATGTCCATGCAATGTATACCTTGGGAAGAAAGAAAAGTTTATTCACCTTCTAAATTTGAAGTGTATTGGTTCTAAAACTATTTTTATTTGTCTTTACTTAAGAAATTCCAAATAAGGCAGGTAAACAGAATGAGTGATAATGCTGTGGAAACAGCAATCGATTTTTATAATGCTTCCTCAGAGTCATCATACACAGATAGTCTGACTTGTCTATTGATCTGAGTTAGACTTGATTAGGTGAGCTGGATGGAAAATTCCCTAACTTGTCACCAAATTCAGTCAGACATTGAGGGACATTTCTTTCTTACATGAGGGGCAATTATCTGCTTAGATTGGAAGCAAAGAAATTATCTTTACTTTGTTTAATAATAAACATATTAGGAAAACCCTGTATAAGAGGAGTTTTTTGTTGAGATTATACCAGAGATGTTCTCTATCGCATTAGAAAGGTTTGCATGTATGTATGCACTTATCATTGTTTTATTTAGAGCTCACAGAGTTCAACTTGTCTTTTGTTTTGGAAGACACATACCTGTCCTATTTTAACCTACTTTAATACTGACATATATTTTACATTTACTCTTGCCGTTTTTGACAACCTGGATGGAACTGGAGGGGATAATACTAAAGAAAGTAAGTCTGAGGAATAAATACAAATACCAGATAGTGTCATTTATATGTGAATGTAGAGAAACAAAACAAAGGATCACATAAAGTCATGGATATAACAAATCCTAGAAAGCCTACTGTGGAATCAAGGCTACAAGGAGGGAAGGGAAGAAGTATAGTGGGGAGAAGGACCCAAAGGACTTTGGTGTAGGAGTATGGTCCCCTTGGCAATGGGTAAGGTGAGAGGATTTGCATCTAAGGAAATGTGATCCTATGCCTTGAATCACAATATTGCCTCAAAAAAAAAAATTGTTAAGGAAACAACAGCAAAATGATTCCTTGCCTTCATTATTGGTCAAATATAAAGCAACTTGCAAGCTCTCTTGGCTTTTTGTTGCTTTTATTTAAAACAGTTGTAACATAGTTTTACATTACTTCTTAATATCAAACTGCACAGACTTATTCAAGAAGATAAACTTGTATATGTACTATCTAAAATTTAACATGACACTTCAAGTTTTTTCAAGTTTAAGAAATTTTAAAACTAATAAGCCTACATGGAAAGGCATTCTTTTATTTCTTAAAATGGCTTATACAGCAAACAATTGCCTCCTATCTTCCCCTTTTCAATTTTAAAATAATGTACATTTTACCACTTTAATTATTTTTCAGTGGTACCCTACATGTTCACATTGTTACGCCGTTACCACCACTGTCTATCTCTTTTTTTCATCTTTCCAAATGAAAGTCTATATCCATCACACAGTAATTTTCCATTTTCCCCTTCTTTTTCAATGAATTTGACTATTTTAGGTACCTGATATAAGTGGAATCATACAGTACTTGTCTTTTGGGTCTGTTTTATCCACTTTAGCCTAATATCTTTAAGGGTGTCCCTGTTGCAGTGTGTATCAGAATCTCTTTCCTTTTTAAGGCTAACTAATATTCCATTGTATGTATATAGCATGGTTTTCTTATTAATTTATATTTATCAAGAGATATTTGGGTTGGTTCGACTTTTTTTTTAGCTACTGTGAATAGTTAAGCTATTATGAATAGTTAAGCTATGAACATAGTGGCCCACACATCAGTTTGAGTCCCTGTATTTATTCTTTTTGGTGTGTACCCTTAAGTGCTGGTAATTTGATGTTAAATTTTTTTAGGAAACATCATAGCATTTTATACTGACTGTGCTCTTTTACCTTCTTACCAACTGTGCACAGGGTTCATGTTTTTCCATATTCCCACAAACTCTTGTTATTTTCTGAATTTGCTTTTGATAGTAGCCATCTTAGTGGGTGTGAAGTAGTATATCGTTGTGATTTTTAACATCATTAGCAATGTTATAAATATTTTTATATATGGACCTTTGACTTTTTGTATATCTTTTAAGGAAAATATCTGCTTCCTTTGTTCATTTTTTAAAAAGATTTATTTATTTATGCATACAGAACTGGGGTACAGGCCAGAGGTACAGGGGCTGTGAGACAGAGTGGGGAGCAGAACAGGCAGATCGTTGAAGTACTCTGCTGAAGGGAGCAGCGGGCGGGTCAGGAGAGGTCTGCCGAGCCATTTGGATCCCCTCAGGGGTGGTTGGGCATTGAACTCATGCTGAAGTGGCTTTAGCTTCTTAGTGCTATGCTTAGCCCACTGTGCCACCAGGGATGGCCCTCCTTTGTTCATTTTTTAATTGGGCTATTCAGTTCTTGTTGAGTTGTGAGAGTTCTCTATAATAATATTCTGGATATTGATTTCTGATTATATATGCAATTTGCAAATATTCCCCAACTGTGAGTTTTGCTTTCTTTCATTGCTTGCTAGTGTCCTTTGACACACAAGTGTTTTTACTTTGAACCAATTTATATATTTTTTTCTTGTGTTGCTTGTTCTTTTGATGTCCTATATAAGGATTTACTGCCAAATTCAATAACTTGAAGATTTTTCCTCTTTTTTTCCCTAAGAGTTTGTTTTTATTCCAATATGTAGGTAATTAATTCGTTTTAGTTAATTTCTGCACATGGTGTAAATGCAGGGTCCAACATCATTCTTTTGTAACTGAATATTCAGTTTTCTCAGCACCATTTGTTGAAATGTAGCTAATTCTTAGCAAAGGTTATTTTAGTGAATTTTCCAAACAAGCTTGTTACCATTTCAAAGGTCAAATAGATAATGATTAAGTTGTACCTCACTTCAAGGTAGATTTTGACCTCTGACAAGTTGAAGAGTACTGAAGATCTAAGATCATTTACATCCCTCAGGAAGAAAAAAAATAACATAACCTTCTAGGGAAGAGAGAAAAAAAAACACGAATGCACAATATCCCACAGGTCAAAGTAACTCTGCCTGATTTGCTTTCTACAAAGTTCTGCACTTATTAGGTTGGAGTGGCTTCACTCTTACCTGACAACCTAAGTGCACTGGGGAGGAACATGTCCTCACCTTTTCTTTGGAGTTTGGTTATTTTATTGACATTTGCTGAGTTAGATGGTGAAGCTGGAGGAGATGAGCTGCAGAGACAAAAAAGAAATACTAACCTCCAACAGTAAGTAGACCCATGGATTACTTTTTGTTGATGTCCAGGGAAGTTCCTCAACAATTTAAAAAATAGCCAGATAAACAAAGGTGTAAGTTTTCTTGAGGAAAACTATGATGTCAAAACAGAGAAAACATTTGGTTGGAATGATGTGTAGAATTACCTTCTTATAAATACATTATTTACTTAGCTATGTTCTTTTAATTTAAAAATTTTGCATGCTGATTACTGATACATTTTCTCGTTTGAAATATAGACCTCGAATGTCTACAGAGAGAGGGAATTTAGTGTTTCTTACTGGGTCTACTCAAAACATTGAATTTAGAACTGGATCTTTGGGGAAAATTAAATTAAATGATGAAGACCTTGGCGAATGTATCCATCAGGTAATACATGGGAAATATGTTGAAATGATTTTGTCTCCATCTATGGTCACTCAATTGAACAGTTCTGTATTAATCTGTACCTTAACTCTTTAGCACAGGGTACATAATTGGAAGTGAGACATATTCTTGTAAAGAACAATGCTTTAGGATTGAAGATGGATAGAGGGAGTAAGGCTGGCCACAAGATGTTCATTGTGTAGGCATAATTATTCCAGTCCAAAGAAAGTATTGAAAGTTGTATAGAAATTCTTCCACAAGGGAGGCAAGGAAAGAAGGGGACCAGAGAAACGTGTAGATGTGAGCAGCTTAGTTTTACTACAGAACAGAGTTGATCAGTTACTCTTTCTTATTATTTTCACTGTTCCTTACTTACTCTAACATGCTGGCATATTAGAATGTAAGAAGCACTATTTAGTACTGATGATAGACTGTCCGCGGTTCTCAGCACTCTTGCATTATCTCATCTGACCTCACAGCTACCCTCTGAGTTTGCCTATACTGTAGCCCCATTCATAAGGAGGTAAACGTATACCACAAGGTTAGTTGCTTGCCCAAGGACAAAATAAATGACTATACCAAGATTTAAAATCCAAACAGTCTGATTCCAAGCTAGGTCTCTTAGCAAGTACCCTAAACTGTTATTATGGGGAAGGAAGGGAAATGGAAAATACCTTGATGTATTGTTGCTGCAAAGGAAAAGTTATGCCTTGGCTGTTTTAGTCTGTTGTGTATTACACATAATGTTTCCTTCTTTGTAACAATGACAAAGATCTTGGTGCTTAAAATACTATGCTCCTCAAAATTTTGAATTATATTCCTATAAGATATACATGATTATTTTTCACTAGCATTCTCTTCCTCTTCCTTCTTTTTAAAAATAGATCCAGAAAAACAAAGATGATATTACAGACTTAAAAAGGAGTGCAATTGGTCTGCCTCTAAATATTTCTAATCAAATCTTTCAGCTTAACACTAAGGTAAGTCTGATAGCCACATCACTAGAACAAACAGGTTGACCTTAATTCAACTTTATAAGTAACCACTTTGCATTGGACTTTGATTTTTGAGGAGGATTTTGTGGCCTTTTCAAAAAGTTAACATTGTAATTATGGGCTTTTTGGTTAAATGGCACAACTCAAGCAATAGATGTAAAAGAGGTGATAGGCGGAAGGGTAGGAAGATTGTGAGCAAGCAGGACTTGTTCATTTCAACATAGTAAGCTTCTTACTGCTTCTTACCAGAAGCAGATGAAATACATTCCTTTATAAAAATTCCCAAACTCACATTGTACATAAAAAACTGTGAACCAAGTCAATGGGCTATAATTCTTTTAAAATATAACTTTAAAAATGTCTATAAGATTGGAGAGAGTAGAAAGGTGGAGAAATGTGAAGAAAAAGAGGATTAAAAAGGAAATGAATAGATAGTGAGTTCCTGGTGGAATATATATGGAAATATATCAAGGGGTTGGAGTCATATGTGAAATGCCTTCAAACCGACTAACTAAAGCTATTTCTTCCCTATTAGCTTATGGATCTTGAGAGAAAATTTCAAAGCTTGCAGCAGGTAAGTCCCATAACTACTAGATATGTAACATTTTTCCTTGAGTTATTAAAGAGCTGTTATTCTTTTTTTTTTTAAGATTTATTTATGTGTACAGAACTGGGGTACAGGCCAGAGATACAGGGGCGGCTAGAGGATTCACCAGACACATAGTGGGGAGCAGAACAGGCAGATCAATGAAGTACACTGCTGAGGGGAGCACCGGGTGGGTCAGGAGAGGGCTGCCATGCCATGTGGGTCACCTCTGGGGTAGGGATCGAACTCATGCTGAAGTGGCTTTAGCTTCTTAGTGCTGTGCTTTAACCCGCTGTGCCACCAGGGAGGGCCCGAAGCTGTTATTCTTAAGGTGGATGAATGATCAAAGTGAAGGACTTTGCTTTTTCTCATAACTTAATTCCCATCACAGTTCATTCTTTCTATGGCACAGATAAGGAAACTGAGTCTCCTTGAGACCAGCCCAAGGATCTGGGCATGTGATCATCTTAAGGGATAGGGGTTGGGCAAGACCCCAGCACTATCGTTTTCTGTCTACTAGAGTGCTTTGTTATACATACCAAAAGAAAAGAACTGGAGTCCAAGGTCATATTTAGCTCACACTCTCCTCCCTCTTTACATTCCCCCAGAAAGTTTTAATGATTTTTGAATGTAAGTTGTTATGCTTTTAGATAGGACAGTGCTCTCTGGATTCTACAGTCTCTGCCATTCCTGTTATCTTTCTCTTGACAGCTCACTAAGTTCATATCCTGAGTTTTTAACTTCAGACATTGTTGCTTTTGTATGCCACAAGAACTTCTAATGAGTTTTTGGTTAGTTTTCTTAATAGTGTCCTTTGATGAACAGAAATGACTGTGGTACAGGTACAAAGAAGACAGAATGATGGAAGAAAACAGAGTCTAGAAAGAGAGCCCCTTGCATGCTCACCTGAATAGTGACAATAGTAGAGAGAGAAGGCACTTTCTGTAAATGGTGCTGGCTAGTTGGCTGTTCCCTGGCTCAGTTCATCTGTAAAACAAAGTGAACAGAAGTACTGTTCTTTGTCTCTAAAAAAAAAGTAGGGAATAATTTGCCCCTATTTTAACTTTTAAAAAAAGAATAGAGCTACACTTACTAGGGCAGCTTTCCTTGTATAATCCCTGTTCTCTCTGAAATCTTCTCTGCCTCCAAAAGCATGGCCTATTTTATAAGACTAGCTGATATATGGAACAATCCCCTAGATTGTGTAGACAAAGGCAGGTATGTTTGTGACTCTAGTCTGAAAGTAGTCATGTGAGCATGAGATTGGAGGCTGTATCTAAGATGACCATATTTTAAACAAAGGAATCTGGAGTGAAAAGAGTTCATTCACCTCAACCTTTGGGAGGAATGGTGGCAGCAAAAGGTGATCAGATTTCAAATTCTTATCTAAGGTAGCAAAGATAAGAACAATAGCAAAAGTATGAGAATTTCCATTCTATTCACTTGGTACAAAAGGTATATTCATTATGATTGCCATATCTAAAATCTTTATTCTGCCAACATATATTTGTCTAATAAACAACACTTTTCCAAAGAATAAAGTGAGAATCTTCTACCCTCATGCCTCACCCCTTTAGGGTTAAGTATATGTAAATAGTAAAGTAATAGGCATAGGACTGATGATTTGAAATGCTTTGTTTTTTCCACAAGAGTTTTGTTTTGAAGAAGTGCTTAGGTAGTTAATTTAGAGTCTGGATGGAGGAAGACCCTCTACCCCTGACTGAATAGGAGTACAATGTGATCCTCCATATAGGCCTTCACTTACGCATGTGTGTGACTGCCTTCTGTGAGAATGATTATCTTACTGTCTGTCCTGCCCTTATTTCAGACAGTTGACAAAAAGGTTTGCAGCAGCAATCCCTGCCAAAATGGGGGAACCTGCCTCAACCTTCATGACTCCTTTTATTGTATTTGCCCATCACAATGGACGGTGAGTTGCGTGGTTTTTGCTTTAAAAAGATGGTGAATAAGCATCTGTGGTTACCTTGGACTCATTGAGACATATTTAATTCTCTAGAGTTTCTAGGATTCTGTGGTCTCTGAATCAGAATGAATTATACCATTTATGCTAAAATCCAAACAATGGCCAGCATGGTTATATAACCCACTGACTACTCAGCCATTTTAAGGAGGTGCTCCCTTGATGGAATATACATGAAGGGCATGCTATTTCTACCAACACTATATAGCAGTATGTACTAAATGAATCTTGGCACAAGTCATGTCAATTTGCTATATTTTATGTTGATGGCAAAGGTGTTCCTAAGGTCCACATTAAAAAATGTTATTCTCACTCATAAAATTTTTATTCTGCCTAACTAGCATGTATTTCTCCAGTAAACAACACTTTTCCAAAGAATAGTGAGAATCTTCTACTCTCATACCTCATCTCTTCCAGGCCATTCCTGTTTTAAAACAAAGAATAAAGTTACAATTATGTGAAATTGCTAGGGCAGCTTTCCTTGTATGAACAGAGATGACTGTTGTATAGGTATAAAGACAGATAGAATAATGGAAGAAAACAGTCTAGAAAGAGACCCCCTGGTATGGTCACCTCAATAATGACAACAGTAGAGAGAAGGCACTTTCCGTAAATGGTGCTGGGCAGCTGGCTGTTCCCTGGCTTTTAAATTGGAGTTAGTGAGAGTCAGTGCACTGGAGGACAATCTTTGATGGGCTCTAAGCAGAAGGACACACCATAGCAGTGAACCACTGCCAAGCTCATTCAATAGGTCTGTGAGCTATTCCCAAACATAGCTCCCAAACATAGTGAAATGAGGAATAGTTTGTATAAAAATTCTTTTCCTGTGGCTGATGTAAGCTGACAGGAGTTCTTAGACATTTGTGGCCAAATATGGCTCCAGGGAAAGGTTGACTAAAAGTTAGCATTGGTGTTATTTATTGTATTTGATTTGATCAAGGACTAACTTATTGTTTGTGTGTAAATCCTTAAACATAGCATATGAAAGTTGCCCCTAGATGCCACTGTGGCCTGTGGCACTTAACTTAGTTCTTTTATGTGACTGCAGGGACCTGTGTGCTCAGTGGATGTTAATGAATGTGCAGTTTACTCAGGAACACCCTGGAGCTGCCAAAATGGAGCCACATGTATAAACACAGTTGGGAGTTACAGGTAAGTTTTTGTTGTTGTAGATATTATTGTTTTAAAATACCAGGGTATATTTTTGAACATCCCATAGCTTAGAGCATCCACGATTAACTGTATTACCAGCATAACATAGTACTCTGTGGGGAATATGTCACTCTCATCTAGTACACACAGAGCTATTTACTAAGAAACTGTGCATTCTCAACTCTAGGGAAAAGATTTCTCCAAGGAACTGGAAGAAGGCTACTGTAGCTGGCAGAGAGGTTCTTATGGCCTGTTGCAGGAGGAGTCTGAGGAGTTAGTGAGAGTCAGAGCACTGAAGGATAGATTTTGATGGGCTCTAGGCAGGACACACTGTAGCAGTGAGACACTGCCATGCTCATTCAATTAGGTCCACAAGCTTATAATTTTTAATTAAGGTGTCTTCACCCAAATATGTGAAATAGTGACCATGTAAGGTTAGAGACTGAACTCAGGTTTCCTTCAAGTAGTTAGCTCTCTTTGCATGCTTTTAATTACCATAGGGCCCTTACCATATCATAATGCAGCAACCATCTCCTCTTCCAATGTGCTGTCACCCCAGTACTCTGCAGGATTCTCTTGCCCAATTCAGACAGCAAGCATTGTGGGAAAGCTTCCCGTTCCTTATGAAGTTGAGAGAGGCGCCACAAGGCCCTCATGTTCTCAGCAAATTCTAGGAATGTTGGTCATTGGAACTATGGGGCTATACAAATTATCTTTTTTTAATAATCAAGTCCAGAAAATCTTATGTAACACAAACATCAAATTTACTCTTGTGTAGTCCTTTAAAAGTCATTTAGAAACATCCCAGGGCATTAATTTTCCTCCTGTTTGATGGATTGCCTCTATTTTGGGATTATTAAAAGGGAAAGAAATGGGTTATGCTAAGGTATGAACAAGTTCTTTCAAGTAATCTGGGGTATAATCTCCTGGAACAAAGAACAATTATTTGCTCTTTTACTAGTGTCTCTGATATATTTTTCTTCAATTACCTTGTAATATACCCATTGTATTCTTTCAGGATAGCAAGAAAAACTTAAATTAAGCTCTGTCTTATAAGAGGTCCTTTTGCTCACAGAACTCCATTTCATTTAAGTGAATCCTCTAATCCCTGCTTTAAAAAACATCCCAGCTTGGTTTATATCCAGGATGCATGATGGAAGTCTAATCTTTCATTCCCTCGAAAGTACTGTCTCCTAATTTTTGTTTACAGCTGTTTATCAATGGGAATTGCTGCTTGGCTATCTGTGGCAAATGTCCTTACTTCAGCACTGATACTGTTTTGCCTTCCAATGTCAAGGTGCATCCTGGAGATTAATTCTCATCCCTGACCCTCCTTCATCACCATTGTCTTTTGGACTCTTGCAAGCCAGCAGAGTAATGAAGATGTGCATGTGGAATGAATTCCCTAGACCAAACCCCAATTCCACCCCCTCCATAGCATATTATATTTCCTGCAAAATGGAAAAGATAAGAAAACTAACACTGCATGTTAAGGGTTAGACTTTTGTTTAAATATGAGAAAACATTTTAGTTGTTGAGAGTTGGCAGATTTAACTTTATAAGAGCAATACTGAACTTTCTCTTACATCTCCAACCCCTGTGAAAGAAAACCCAAGGATTCTGTGGTGACTCTGGAAAGGGTTTTGATTTTCTTGTCTCTGGCTTTTATAGATTTTCTGGTAGACAATTGAGTGCAGAGAATTTAAATCTTGTTTCTTCCAGATTTCTTTCTTCTATTCATAATTGGATAGTTTAGGAAGCATCATGAATTCCATTGATTATCTTTGAACTAAATACTCGGTTACCAGCATTTAGCTAAGAGTTTTTGAAGGCTTAAGGAAAATAGAACAATGTGAGCATAAGATTAAATTCTTGATTTGTGGAAGCTATGTGTAATGAGACAGAGAACACTTACATAATCTTGAGGTCTGTTAATTGCATGAGGTTAAATCCTTGTTAATCAGTTGCTTCCTGAAGGCTAGAAACCCCTTAGGAGAACTTCAGCAGACACTTGGAAAGGAGAATTTGAAGTGCTTAAATAATCTACACCTATAGAAATGTGGTCAATGTAGGCAGAATTTGTTCTGGATTACAGCTGCTTCAGTTTTTAATTCTTGGAGCCTATTTACTTGAGACAAAGGAGTCTCTATTTATAGGCATTAATAATTTCTAATTATAAAATCTCTGAAAGATAAAGCACTATACAAATACTAATTAATCAGAGGCACTATTTAATAGGAAAAATTCTTATTGAGAGTAATAAAAACAGAACAAAGAAAAGCATCATCTGTTTTCACCAATTACTGTGGCTAAAGGCCTTACTGCCAACAGCTTCAGAGAGCACAGTATCGTGCCACTTGTTGATACTTTTATTGTTTCTTTGTCTTGAAGAATTGATTCTTATTGTTAACTATTTGGATTTAAGACAGTTCTTCAGATCCAGCATTTCTTGCATGGAGAGTATATGTTACATACTTAAAGTCTAGAGTCTTTGTAGGAAAAAAAAAATAAAACAAAATGGGGTTTACTGTGTGGTTTGATTTCCCAGAACCACACTGATGAGAGCATATTTACTTATTTTCATTCTTACCACTGGTGTGTTTTAAAGCATGCAGTTTACATGATGAGGATAGTATAATTTTAGCTCAGATGGTAGTTAGGTATTAAACTTATTATCTATTTCAGTTAGTCAGTTATATTAATATTGAACCATGAACTCTAATGTAAGTTAAACAATGCCATTGAAAGTCTATCTGACCTCTTCTCAATTGCCAAATGCAATTGCAGTGTTTCTGAAGAAAAACCTGATTTTCTTCTGCTAAAACCAAATAGTAATAGAAGGTCACTACAGCAGTGACCTCTGCTAGATCTGCAAATAATAAACGAGGCAAGAATAGGAGGGATTAATTTTAAAATATCGTATATGGCTTTTATTTTGTAACTAAGAAGGTATATTTATTCTTTTTTTCTTTTAAGGGCATATCTACACTCCTTTGAGAATGTGTGCAAGCACTTTTATGTTAACAAATAGACCTTAAAAAAACAATGTCTTTGTACTAACTTTATCTTTCAGAATATGGTAGTGTATCATGATGGGAAGTTTCACAGACATAGATTTTAATTCATCTTGCACATATTTGCATGGGATGGCCTTGGACAGTGTAATCTCACCTGTTAAGTGGGTCTAATAAATATTTGCCTTTGAGGATCCCCCTTCCTTATTCTCATATCATCTAAGTTTAAGTCAAAGAAGTACATTCGCTTAGAGAAAGATGTAGTATTAAAATCTCATCTCCAAGTTACAATAGGACGAGAAAAGTAGAAAAAGGATAAAGAAAGATTTAACTTTAGGTCTCTGAAGCATAATTACTTGTCAAATCTTAAATCACTGTTCAGTGGTAAAGTGTTAATGATGATGAACACGATTTACTGAGCACCTCCAATAGAAAGTTCCTTTAGATATCAAGGTGAAAATGTGTTCATTGGTTAACATTTTTTATTTTACAGGAAACAGAGGTAGAGGTAGTTATGACTTGGCCTAAGGTGAAAATTTAATAGACTTTGTCAGGATTTAAACCCTGGTAATTTAGTCCTATGTGGTCCTGAATGTTCAGATCTTTCATACATAGAAAAGTAGGCTGAGAAAGCTGGTGATAATTGGTTTAAATATTAACAAAAATCTAAGGTGGCACAGGTAGTGATAAAATAAGCTTTTAGCAATGAAACCATCTGGATCAAATGCTCAGCTATATATTTGAAATGTTAAATATTTCTACAGTCTTCAGACATCTGCAATTAAATTCCCTAAAATAATATTCTGTGTAAGGATGGGAGAACACAGTGGAAAAAGAACAAATATAAAATAGATAGTATGAAAGGAGAGCTAATAGGAAGAGAAACACATGGGAGAAGAGAGAGAATGAATGAAAATTTCCTTAAGTTTAATCAGCTGTTGCTTTAATATTTGACCTCATCTTAATGAGAAACACAATCACTCATATATTTGTTTAAATATCCGCTGATTTCCTTATACCTGAGTGTCCCTTTTCCCAGAAAATTCAGAATCTAGTCCATGGCCCATGGCCACACAGGCACTTGCTATCTGTTTTGGTCTTTGATCCCTGTCCCTGCTTGATCACTTTCCTCCAAGTGGGCCAGTACTGTTCGTTCAGGCAAGTGGTAACCTCTAGGCTGACTGTCCTCTCAGTCAGATGGGCTCAGATATGTGGAGATGAGATCAGGCTCTGTGAGTCCTCTGGGCTTCTCTTTCCCAACTGCCAGCCCTGTATCTTTCACGTCCCGATAAGCTGCAGTGCAGGTATAAAACTTACTCAGCTTTTTTTTTTTTTTCTAAGAATTGTGGTATAAAATAACTTACAGCTACTTAGGTGTTATATAGTAATTTTGTTTTGTTGAGAGTTAAAATGTGACTATTAAAAGAAAGACTACACTGTTTAACTACATCTTTTATGGATAGAAATGTTGCCCTTTGTCATATAATAATATGTAATAATAATTATGGACTCTGAGATGTGGCTAGCACATTGCCAGTGGGGTATAAATTCCTAGAGAATATTTGGGAATTATCAGTACAATCCAGGTGACCTGTGCTTACTGGTTGGTCCACTTGGATGAACAAAGAATGGACTTGCTGATCTCTCCCTTTATGATGAACAGACTTGATCTCTGCTTTTACCATCCTGAACTAATTCCATCCCTCTTAGTTTATAGATGTCTGATCTTTAAAAGCACTGTTTGATGACATGATACCAGAAAAATTTATAGTGGTAATCTTGCCAGGATAATAATCTGTGGCTCTCCCACACTGCATTTGAGACATTGGTGCATTGATTCAATTAACCACCTTGAGTAGAGCAGAGTGATTTGCTTCCAAGATTCTAGTCAGTAAATCTTGTTTGTTGATTTATGGTTCCACTTACTGACCTTTATTTGGACTTTTTTTTCGCAAAGAAACACAAGCCTGAAACACAAGCCTTGATGCTGTGCTCTTGTGTAACCAACAGTTGTCACTGCTCTCCTGACACCTATGGCCCCCAGTGTGCATCCAAATACAATGACTGTGAAAGGGGCTCCAAGGCCCTCTGCATCCATGGCATTTGTGAGGACCTGGCCCGCATGCAGGCTGGAGAGGTACGTTCCTTCCCTCCTTGAAGGAAATCACTGTTTCTAGTTCCTTGTCTGTGTGGCTATATATAAGCATAGCGTGGGGTTGAGTCCCTTCCTGAAATTTTCCTGGGCACAGGTAAAGGGAGAGATGGCAATTCCCCATCAAAATGGAGGAAATTGTACCCAGAGATTAAGATTTCATTAAATTCATAATATTTTAAATATCCTTTCAAGAGTTTCTCTGTGAGACAAGTTTTTCTTTTGCCCTTGTGAATTTTAATGGCGATACCATTTAAGAAGTGTGGATTTTTTTCTGACTTTTGCCCCAGTGAGGATTTGTAGACCCCATAAACATACTTCCCCGTGTCCCCATGTGTGGGTAATGACAGCCTTGACTTCTGACCCTCAAGTATACCCACCCACCCAACCTCGTGGCCCTCTCTGAGACTCTCAAGTCCTAAGTTTTGCTGGAAAATGTTTCCCTACCAATGGTGGTGATAGGGGAGGTGGAACATGGGTTGGAAGGGAAGAGAGACTTTCAAAAAGAAAATAAACAGATTTGATTTTCCAAGGGCTGTACCTACAAGGGTGTTTTTCTCTCTAAAAACATAGCAGGCCGAGTTGATTGAGTTTAATTATATTGACTTACAGTTCTTGATTGTTGTTGCTCGTTCCCTGGCATCTTAGGGGCAAATTACAGGTTCCCTTTACTCTGAAATAAAGATGTTTTTCTTTTTTCCTGGTCTGATCTAAATGTTTAACCATATAGGAAGAAAAAGAGAAGTCATTCAATTGGCCTTATGAAGATGACTGGTATAGGATCAACAGCTTGGGACTTGAGAGTTTCCAAGACTTCTCTTTCTTGATTGTCTCTTTCCACACTCTTGTCTTCCTGCCAGCCCAAGTATAGCTGCATCTGTGATGCTGGATGGACAACCCAGCCCCCACCACATGGCCCAGCCTGCACACTGGATGTAGATGAGTGCAGTCTCCTGCCTGCGCCTTGTTCAGCTCTTGTGCAGTGTTTCAACACTCCAGGCTCTTTCTACTGTGGGGCCTGTCCAGCAGGTATGTGGGCATGTCCATGACCAACCTGTGCCAGGCTCTGCAAGTCTGCCAGGCAAGGTGCCAGAACCAATTTTTTTCTACTGCTGAGGGATAAGTAAACTGTTCTTGGGAAGTGTTCCAATCCAGTATCACATACAGTTTTATTAACTGCCAGTCCAGACCATCTTATCAGTATTACATTTCAGCAACAGAAATGGAAGTTTTATCCAAAACTGTGCTACAGTCAAGGTTTGGGGCTAGAGTGAACCACAGAGTTTGTGAAGTCAAACATTTTGTTGTTATACCCATCAGCTGACAAGACAGGAGATCAAAAGTAAGTGCTCTAGTCCCACCTTCATACCTGGCCAATGTTTATATGCCTGGGAAAATTACTTGACCTCTTAATGTCTCCATGAGAATCTGTAATTTTCATCTATATTAAATGCTGTGTCATCAGAAGACCCTGTCTAAATAGAATTCCTATCACAGACCCACAGAGATTGAATACCCAAGGGAGGTCATATTTCAAATTGTTGAAAACATGGGTTCTAGACTCAAGAGACTGCCTGGGTTTGACTGCACGATTTTTTCCTCACTATATAGGATCGTTTATTCAGATCATAGTTTTAGAGTACCCACTATGATCAAAACAGTTTGCTGTGTTCACTGAAAAGCAATTAAGCAGACATCAGATAGTTTACGAGCCCTTCCTGCACTCCCTAGGTGTTCTTAGAAAGTGGAGCACAAAGAAAATATAATAATAGCAACTATTCTTTTATGATACCATTATTAAAGTACTTCGCTAGGCAATTTTTAATGTTTTTTTAATAATTAGAACAAAACTAAGAATTGGTAGTAACTAGTATTGTTCCCTTTTTGAAATGTAAAAACTTGGAAGTTTAGAGAGTGATATAACTTATATAACTTGGCCAAGATCACAAAGCAGCCAGGATTCACATCCAGGTCTCTGGACTCTGGATATGAGCTGCTGAATCCTGTGTCTCTGTCTCACTAAGCAGCCTCACATACTTGGTGCTTTTGGGTTAGTGATCTTCTGCATGTTGTATGCTTAGATTTTACAAAGCTAGAAAGATGTTGAAAAAACACACAAACACTTCCCCCTTCAGTTTTAAGTGCGAAGTAAAACTTGCCAATAATTTCATTTTTCATTCGTATAGGTAATTTTATTTTATTTTATTGCTAATCATCTTCCTGAGTATCAAAATTAATAGATGTGGTTTTAAAAGTATAAAGAAACTACAAGCTATGAAAAAAAAAACAGAAAAAATATCTGTAGCTTTATCAAACAGAAAATCATCTTTGATATGTGTGCCTATTTTCTTCCAGTTCTTTTCTGTGCACTCATTCATTTCTTCATGCACAAATATGAACAATTTCTCACATAGATTCATAGATCAAAAATACATAAATATCTTAAAGAATTTAAAAGGTCTTAAAGATTCTTGTTACCTCCAATTATGAGTAAAGCAAACTCATCATAACAATTGAATAAAACACATATATCTAAAGTAAAATGTCTTTCTTTACTTTCAACCTCATTTCCCCAATGAGACCACTGTTAGCAATTTGTTCTCTCTTCTCCCATTTCCTTTGCTCATATAAAACACATGTAGATTAAAAACAAACTCTCAAAATTGGTATCAGACTCTGCATATTATTGCAAATGCTCTGGCATTTTCAATTAAAGTAATGTGAACAATTTTATTGATAAAAATTTATGTGCATACTACATAAATTAATTTTTACCATTGAATAATAAACACTAATAAAATAATAAAATTAGTTTTTTATTCAATGGTAAAAGTCAATCACTATATATTCAACTATGTCACTGTTGACTATTGAAAGACTTTTCCTCCTCCTATGCTACAGTAGCTACCTGTTTTATGTTCATATACTGGTAGCTTTATCACTACAAGAAATTTCGAGAAGTGGAATTGTAAATCAGAGGATATGATTTAAAAATTTTTAAATGAGTAAAAACAGGTCATAGTGATTTAGCTTCCAACCAATAGTATGTAAGAGTGATCTACTTACACACGTTTGCACTAGGGCTTGATTCTAAGAACTTAAACCATCTTGGCAAATCTGAAATTCTATGTTAATTTGTCTTGTAGAGCTAATTTTTCAAATCTTCCTTTTCTAGGCTGGCAAGGAAATGGATACAACTGCCAAGATGTCAATGAATGTGAGATAAATAATGGTGGCTGTTCTGTAGCTCCACCTGTTGACTGTGTGAACACACCTGGGTCTCACCATTGTCAGCCATGTCCCCCAGGTGTGGCTTGAAATCCTGATGCCTCCAAGTGAAACACAGACGTTGGAAAAACAGGATCTTGTGCTCCATTTTAAAGATGATTTCTAAGGCCCAGAGCTGAATAGTGCAGACAGTTATTTGTGGATTCAGGGCATACAATTACAGCTTTATTAAAAGAAGCAAAAAATATTTTGAATATAAATGAAAAACAAGTCCTTACAAGCTGAAGTAGTCTCTTGTGATAAGTAGAATTTAAAAACCATTCTCTGTGGATACAGTCCTATTATCTATTATCCCTACAAATAATTTACTAATGTACTCAAAGATATTTTGCATTTAAACATACTAAATGGTAGATATAATTATAGGTATTTATTAGTTTCCCTTTTCTTTTGGAAAGAAGTCATTACTGCTATTTTCTAATCCAAATTAAGTTACTATTCAAGAAGTTCTGGGTATTTTAAGAGATAAACTGAAATGAAACTACATATTTTATTAACATAAAAAATAGTGCTTTGGAGTTCTACAATAATTAAGCTCTAAAATCATCAGAATCATTGTGTCTAAAAATGTCAACTTCCTAGTGTCAGCCCTTCTCTCTCTCTCTTGCTATTTACTAGAAGCAACCCAGAGTAATGTTTCTGAAATCAGGTTTTATAATTCTTGTTGAACTTTCTCCCGATTGTGAAATTTTGCTAATGTTATTTTATATTTACATTTACTATTTTGATGATAGAGAAACTCTGGTTGGCTGGTTCAGGATATTTTATTCTCATGTTGGAATTTTTCTTGCATGTGCTTAACATTGGTTGTTATGTCCTGCTCTCGCTATGGTCAGGGTACCAGGGCGATGGGAGAGTGTGCACACTTGTGGACATCTGTTCAGTCAATAATGGAGGCTGCCACCCAGAGGCATCCTGCTCCTCAGTTCTAGGTAAAGACTAACTTCTCCCTCTGTTTTGGGTATTTTCATGACTTTTTACAATCAACCTTTTAAAAGCAAACATAAAATCCTTATTTAGATTATCCAACCCCAAATTAATCCATATTTAAAACTAAAAATTTTAATTTTTTTAATGCAATGAACTGTGCTCTTTAATGACCTCTCTTTTAAGAATTGCTTCCCAATGTATTTAGTCAGTTCATTAATTTTTGAGTGTATTCCAAGAATCAGGAAGGAGTGAAGGAGGAGGACATGCTTCCTCTTTTTTTCTGGCTCTCCCATTTCTATGTCAGCAGCCAGAGCTAAGCTGTGTGACTAAATCTTTATTTCAGGCACCAGTGCTCCCAGCTGGAATAAGAGTTCACTACTAAGGAGGGGAAAATTGAACACAGGTTGGCAATCAACAGAGTTTTCAGTGCTTCATAAATGAAGACTTAGATTCAATAAGTTAAAAATTACATGTTGCTAAAATTTCTTACAGAAATATATCCACTTACATACTCACCAACAGTATATGATAAAAAATACCCCACTCTTTACAATGATGGATACTATTGTTATCTTTCACCTTGATCAACTTTATACAAAAATTTCTATCCCATTAGTTTTTATTAAGTCAAAATTAACTTTGATTATAATAGCCAATGCTTTTCACTCATCTATTTTTTCACTGTTACTTCATGTCCTTCATTTATCTGCTTTCTGTTGTTTGGAAATTTCATTTTGAACCATGGATATTTATCTGCTTTCTGTTGTTTGGAAATTTCATTTTGAACCATGGATATTAGCTTACTATCTGTATCTTTCTTCACATGTATTTTTTGTGGTATGTTACTTTTCATTTTAATTTAGTTATGTCACTTCATACTTACATGTTGAAAATGTTGATATAGTCAAGAAGACCAATCTTTTCTTTAAGGATTCCTCCCTTTAGAGTTATGTCAAAGGAAACCTCTATACCAAATTTTAAAGTAGTCAAGTCTATGTGCTTCTATACTTTTACAATTTTATATTGTTTTTGACATTAAGATTTTTGCCTTTTATCAGGGTGTATATTTTATTTGTAGTATCAAATGAAGATCTGGCCTGATTGTGTTGTTCAAAAGTGTAGATCCATTTTCATTTATTGAAAAAATGTCTATCTGCTGCTGTTTTGAAATATCACTTTTTTTTTTTAAGATTTATTTATTTGTGCATACAGAACTGGGGTACAGGACAGAGGTTCAGGGTGGCGGAAGACTTCACCAGAGACAGAGCGGGGAGCAGAACAGGCAGATCGATGAAGTACACTGCTGAGGGGAGCAGCGGGTGGGTCAGGAGAGTTTTGCCACACCATGTGGTCACCTCCGGGGCAGGCGGGAATCGAACTCATGCGGAAGTGGTTTCAGCTTCTTAGTGCAGTGCTTTAACCCACTGCGCCACCAGGGAGGGCCTGAAATATTACTTTTTTACTAACTTGTCATACATATGCATATATAAAAATGTGTAGATCTTAGTATACATACTGTTGTACATATCCTTATAGTACAGTATATATTTATATATACACACAGACTCATAGATTTGTGTGTGGCTATTTAAATGCTTATTAAATAATTGATAATGGAATCTATATATTTTATTATTGGTTCCAATATGTTCTAGCTGTGTGTCCTTGGTCAAGACATGCATGCTGAATGTGGTTTGTGTGCATCTGTAAATGGGAGTCATAATCCCGCCTGTTTGTAGGATTAAGAGGATTTATCCTAATGGGAGAATTGAGTGAGTTAGCATATATAGAAAGTGCCTGCAGGAGATATCATCAACATGAGTACTTTTTTATTTCTGCTGTCAGTCCCTTTATGATAGGAAACCTCTTTTTCTCTTTGTATAACTTTATAAGTACACTACTTAGGACCATGATGTATGGCCTTAGAGTACCAGTGTCAATCCTTACATGGAATTTTGGAAATATTTAGTGCTTTTGTATTTTTAAGACATAAAAAAATATTTTTCTTCATATCTTGTCCTGTCTGTCCCTGGTGACATGCAGACTTGACTTGTGACTTCTTGTCTATACAACAGAGCCAAGGTTCCATTGCTGGGTTTTAACTGAGTAGCCTGTATTTACTCTTCCATTTCTGAACAGGTTCCCTACCTCTCTGTACCTGTCTCCCGGGATATACTGGAAGTGGCTATGGGCCAAATGGATGTTTGCAACTCAGTAATCTTTGTCTAAGTCACCCCTGCTTAAATGGACAATGCATTGTGAGTCTTTTGTGCTTCCTACGGCTATAGAGTACTTGACAGTATTTTTAGTTTCATGTCTATGAAATACCTTTTCTATGATTCATGAAATTTAGGTGATGATTCAAGCTTAAGATAAGGACTGTAATTCTCAGATAAACATATGTAGTAACTTTAGTGCCCAGGAAAAGCCAATGAGTTAACTTTTCTATTATTGATTTACAAAGTAGTAAAGCAGCCTTCAGTTTGATCCAAATAAATCTAACTTGTGTTATCAATCACCATAAGTGAATAACTCTGTCAGGCTGCTAAAAGATGTTTGTGGTTCAATACCAAGTATCATATAGTACTATGTTTCTTTTTACTTTGGTTTGTTTAAATTTATTGTCTACCATTTGCTCATGGAATATTTTTCCTCTTAGGAGACTGTGTCTGGTTATTTTTGCAAGTGTGAATCAGGTTGGGCTGGTGTCAACTGCACAGAAAACATCAATGAGTGTCTGAGCAACCCTTGTTTGAATGGAGGAACTTGTGTTGATGGCATTAGTGGGTTCAGCTGTGAGTGTACCCGCTTCTGGACTGGATTTTTCTGTCAGACTCCCCAGCAAGGTATGGTCAGCATTTGTTATATTGCAGATTATCATAACCTGTAAGTATCACCTTTTTTTTTTTTTAAAGATTTATTTATTTATTTATACAGAACTGGGGTACAGGCCAGAGATGCGGAGGGTGAGAAGATTCACCAGAGACAGAGTGGGGAGCAGCACAGGCAGATCGAGGAAGTACACTGCTGAGGGGAGCAGCAGGCGGGTCAGGAGAGGTCTATCGCGCCATGCGGATCTCCTCCGGGGCAGGCGGGGATCAAACTCATGCGGAAGTGGCTTTAGCTTCTTAGTGCTTAGTGCTGCGCCACCAGGGAGGGCCAGTATCACTTTTTTAACGAGCGCTGATGCTGCCTTTTACTGAACTTATTTTCTTGTCACTTTGTTCAGATACTTAGAGCTAAGGCTTTCCTTGCAGAAATGGTGTAGAATTCACAAGATAAATATTTATATATTTCAATTTAATTCAGAAAACATATCCTCTAAGACTTAAATTAATATTTTCCATTTAATTGTACCTGTCCTGATAATAAAATATGCTATACCATTACCCTTTGCAGTTTTATAAGGAAGAGTTTTAATTTCTCTAGAATATCACACCTAATTGTGTCACTCACCTGCTCCCTATTGCCTGATATATGAAGAACGGAATGGTTTTCAACCATTCTATATTATAACCACACCTGATCCTATTCACCAAACCTTAATTTTCACTAGTTCTCTAAAATTATTCCCACTAAGGACAGAAATCTCTCCTTACTACCTGATTTCATGTGCTACCATAAGCAATTTTATTGCATTCCTTTATTTGGTATATTTATCGCTCCACCCAAATTTCTTTTTTGCTTCTCATCCATAAATTCAACCTACTCTATAAATTCTCTTCTGACCACTCTACCTGTCACTTAATATTTCTGATAGTCCACATTTATGGACTATATTATGTATTTAGGACTATGTTACATCCTGTGGAAGTGGAGAAATAAGGAAGTATATAATATTGTCTCCACATATCTGTTTATTTTCTAGTTGAGGAGACAAGGTTAATATAAAGTAACAGAAGAAAAAAATTGTGTGGGATCCAGTGTCATTTAGGTAGAGAAAATGAAGCCAGAGAAATCTCAGAGAGCCTGAGGACATGCATAACACATATGATGATAGACCAGACTAGACTTGAAACAAGGGGTTGGACTTGGGCAGATGGTGATGGAAAAAGTAGAGTGGAAAAGAAGAAATGCAGGACTTTGTCTTCAGCATTACTCAGACTGCTAAATATCACAGCAGCAGGCTTACAGTTGCCTAGCCTCTTTCTTTTTGCAGTCTCTGACATGCACAGTTCATCTTCTTTTCCTTTGTAGTTTGTGGAGAGTCCCTTTCTGGGTTGAGTGGAAGTTTCAGCTACAAGAATACCGATGTTGATTACACTCATGATGTTAGCTGCTTCTGGGTTATCCGAACTGAAAAGGGAAAGGTAACTGTGTTATCTCTGGTTCACATGTACATTACACATATCTATAGTTTATATTTAGATACATATAATTATATGTATTATATTTGTGTATTATTTTGAGCCTGTATTGTGGATTTTGGGCTACACATTTTACATACCTTTTTCTAACCCTTCATTAATGTTTTGAAATAAGTAAGAGCATCCTATTTTACAGATGAGATCATGGAAACTAAGAGATGTTAAGTGATTTTTAAAGAACATCCTTAGTTGATAGTTAGAATAGTTAATTTCAAAGTCTTGTTCCGAAGTCCACACTTTGTCCTGTATCAATGACTGCAAGGGTGGACTGACTGTACGTTGATGTGCAATCATGTTAATGAAGTAGTGGTGCTTTATGATGATCACTAGTGTTACAATATTAATTAGGGAAAACAGGAACTGCTATTAAAATTATTTTCCTATCAGTATTTTTTTTGTGTCATGTGTGTACCAATGTGCTATACATATTGCTTCACACTACACTATTGCATTTTAATTATCAGAACCCTAAAAGGTAAGTGTTATTTTTACTTTACCTGTGAGAAAATGGAGCCTAGAGCAGCTGAAAAGTAAGTCCAGGGGAACAAGGCTTTACATGGCACACACTGACATGAACTTAGGTCATTTGGCTCCAGTGACTGAACTGCTGCAGGAACACACTTCAAATTTTTAGTGCTTTTATTCCCAGCATTAATTACTCAAAATTTTCCAAATATTTGTTTCCCAGCCAACTCAGATTCATTAAAATAAGTTTGTATGCTGGGATAAAGTTTTCTCTCAAAATCTTATTAACTTTTCCCAGCAAACTAAGGTCAGAAAACATTTTCCCCCCTTCCTTAAAGGAAGACTTGCTAAGGCCTGATAACCTCACAATAGATTAAATTCCAAAATAAATTTCCCCGTGGCTTTGTTATGTGATTTTCTTCCTTCCATTTAGTTTTCATGAACTTTGTTTCCTGACAATAAAATATTGGTCTTTCAAGAAAAATAATTTGTAAAAAAAGTAATAATTTTATCAGTTTTTAAGAAATACATACCACTTTTCTAGAAATGTTTCATATTTCCTTATCTGTACCACAACTTACATATTACTGTGGATATTATGTACATATTATTGATAACTCAATTTCCAAACTTTTTGTGATTTTCACTGAAATTGTTTCAAAGGTAAAAATGATTTAAAGTATGGAACAGAAATTAAAAATTCTCCTGCATAGAATTTTCAAAATATCCTGATAGGGGTCCTCCCTGGTGGTACAGTGGGTTAAAACTCAGAACTGAAAAGCTAAAGCCACTTCAGTCTGAGTTTGATCCCTGCTGCCTTGGAGGTGATACACATGGCACAGCAGACCTCTCCTGACCCGCCTGCTGCTCCCCTCAGCAGTATATTTCATTTATCTGCCTGTTCTGCGCCCTATTGTGTCTCTGGTGAAGCCTCTCACTTCCCCTGCACCTCTGGCCTGTACTCCAGTTCTGTGTACACAAATAATAAATAAATCTTTTAAAAAATATATGCTGATACTTTTTTTATTAGCTGAATACTGTTGTGGTTTTATATCATAATGGTTTAAATTCAATAGTCTCTCTTTGGTTGGTTGACTATCTTAAATGAGGTTGTTTGTATAAAATCATTATACATTTTATTAATTATACTACTATCTAAAGTATGTACATTTTAACATGTAAACTCAGACACGTTTTTTTGTGTGCTATTTTCGCCTATCTGTATGTTTAGTAGCTATATCATCATTTTCCTTCACCCTACACTTGATATTACTCATTTCTTGGTGAGTAACCAACAAGTGAAAGCTTGCAGATTTCACACATGCCTAGACCTTGCTTATGCAGCCTACATGTGGGATGTCAATTTGACCTAGGCAATAGTTGAGAGGTTCAGAGACCCTTAAGGAAATAACACGTCTCTGAGTGAGTGATACAGATCTATCTGGGTTTCATACTGTCAATTATTCAGGTTATCAGGGTATACATTCTTGTGTTAATATTCATTAAATATAATTAAAGGTAGATTTTCTAAATGCTCATTTCACTGCTTTAGAAGCATGAAGTGCTTTGTTTAATAGACTGTACAGCTTAATAAAATCTAGGTTTAACCTATTTCATTAATTCACTGAATAACAACTCAGTGGACATGAAGTTTCAGTAATGTTAGATGAATAAATTCTAGACATCTGTTGTACAACACAGTGCTTATACTCAGCTGGTATTATGTACTTCAAGATTCATCGAATGGATGTATCTCATTTTATGTTTTTTTTTTTTCCTTAAAGATTTATTTATTTAGTCATACAGAACTGGGGTACAGGCAAGAGGTGCAGGGGCAGTCAGAGGCTTCACCAGAGACAGAGTGGGGAGCAGAACAGACAGATCGACAAAGTACACTGCTGAGGGAAGCAGCAGGTGGGTCAGGAGAGGTCTGCTGCACCATGTGGGTCACCTCCAGGGCAGGGGATTGAACTCACACTCAAGGGGCTGTGGCCAGCTTGCAGTGCTGTGTCCTAACCCATTGTGCCACCAGGGAGGGCCTCATTTTGTGTTTTTAACATATGCACATGCACACACACATACACACACACAGCAGTTTCCTGTGGCAGTTGTTAGATACGTCTGTTTTATTGGTTTTGGTGATGATACTGCAAATCTTTACATAGGTTGAACATCTTCAAATTGTACATGTTAAATATGTGCTCTATATATCTTTGTGTATTAATTTTATTTCAATAATCTGTCAAAATCTATTTCATTAACTTTAAGATTTTAATATATTTCAATATTACCTGGTTAGGTCTAAGCACTTTTTAACACAATTCATTTAATATGGAGAGTTTTCATATATTTTGGATAATTGGGGACTTACACAGATATTTCTTGAAAGTGCCTTGATACTAATGCTTCCTAATTAATAGGTGAAAAAAATTAGAATTAACATGAAAATTTAAAATAATATATGATAACTTTCTTATCTCTAGGTGCTGCATATCACTTTCACCTTTTTCCAGCTAGAATCAGTGAACAATTGTCCACATGAGTTTCTTCAGATTCATGATGGAGATTCCTCTGCAGCATTTCAACTGGGAAGATTCTGTGGCTCTAGCCCTCCTCAAGAAGTCCTGAGCAGTGACAATGCTCTATATTTTCATCTCTATTCTGAACATTTAAGAAATGATAGAGGTTTTACAATAAGATGGGAAACACAGCAACCAGGTAAATATCAATGTGGGGGAAATAAAATCAATACTTTCTATATGAAATATAGAAAAACTTATATAAAAACAAAATTATGGGGTTATTAAATTTCTTGATTAATATTATATTTTGAATGCATTAAACGTTTAGTGGTTCAGTGACATAAAATTTTTAAAATTATTTTCAAGTCAAATAAACCTATAAAGAGTTTGCATTTTATTTTGTGAGAGAGATAATAAAATTTGGGAATGGAAGAGATTCTTTTTTTTTTTTTTAAGATTTATTTATTTATTCATATGGAACTGGGGTACAGGCCAGAGATGTGGAGGGTGAGAGGATTCACCAGAGACAGAGTGGAGAACAGAACAGGCAGATGATCAAAGTACACTGCTGAGGGGAGCAGCGGGTCAGGAGAGGTCTGCCACGCCATGTGGTCACCTCCGGGGCAGGCGGGAATCAAACTCATGCGGAAGTGGCTTTAGCTTCTCAGTGCTGTGCTTTAACCCGCTGCGCCACCAGGAAGGGCCGGAAGAGATTATTCTTAATGGTTCCCTCATGAAAAATACTGAATAGCATTTTTAATAGGCTTTATTAGTATATTATTGCGGAGATTTTGTTGCAGATACTTTTCACTCCTTCACTTAGTATTTTTCATATTAGTGATTAATTGATCACTTATTTGCTGATATTTTTTGTTTGCTTTTGGTGTTCCATTTTAAAAACTTTTTACTGTGAACTTTTTAAATATGTAAAAATGTTGAGAGATCAACTAAGTTTCCAGATCCATTCATTTGTAAGCCTGTGGATCTATTTCTGAAATTTCTTTTCTTTTGGTCTATCTATCCTTGTGCTACATTGGCATAACTACTGAAGTTTGAATTTGGTACTGTAAATCCTCTAACTTTGTTCTTCTAACATATGATATATTCTTTATATACTCATATATATTTTAGAGTCAGTTGGTTTATTTCTCCCAAAAGGTATTGTACTGAATCTATAAGCCGCTTGCAAAGAGATATGTTAAAAAACTGACCCTATGAAGGGTCAGTCCTTCATGCACAAGGACTATCTTTATAAATTTACTTAGTTCTCTTTTAAGTTATCTTAATTATGGTTCATAGATTTCAATATAATTATTCTACATCTTTTTAAAATGGTTTATTTATTTATGCATACAACAACTGGGGTGTAGGCCAGAGGTGTGTGTGTGGGGGTGGGGGTGGGGACATGAGAGCATTCACCAGCAACAAAAGAGCAGAACATGCAGATTGACTAAAATTCACTGCTGAGGAGAGAGTGGGTGAGACAGGAGAGGTATGCTGCACCATGTGGGTCAGCTCCCTGGCTGGGAATTGGACTCATGCTGCGCTGCAGTGGATGTGGATAGCTTTATTGTGCTGAGTTTTTAGCCCCTTCTGCTACCAGGGAGCCCCCAAAATTATTCTACATATTTTGTTAATGTTTCCATATATTTTACTTTGTGTTATTGTTACATTTATTTTAAATATTATTTTTGTAATGTTTCATCAAAATCTCAAATTTCAGAATTTTCTGAGCTAATATACAGAGTTAATCTCCCTCAAAGTGGGAAAGTGCATCTATCATCCTGTTATTATTTCCTCAGACAGTTTAACCTACATTTTAAATCAGATCACAGTATAATGGCTGATATCATGGAGCTCAATATATAGATGTGTTTATTTATTATCATTTGGTTCTTTTACATTTATAACTTTATCAAAATGGGAAAGTCAACAACTTTTTAAATTTAAATGGTGTCCAAAACCACACAATTATTAAACAAACTTTCTCATAGCAAGGAAGGGCTTTGATCATTCTCCATGAGGTGTAACTTGTTTACTAATATAAATGTAACTTTTCTTCATATTTTAGAATGTGGAGGTGTTCTGACTGGTACTTATGGTTCTATTAAGTCTCCAGGATATCCTGGAAACTACCCCCCAGGAAGAGATTGTATCTGGAAAGTGACAACCAGTCCTGACCTTCTGATAACATTTACTTTTGGGACCTTGAGTTTGGAGCACCATGACGATTGCAGCAAAGATTATCTTGAGGTAAAGAATTGGATTTGTATAGAACTTATCATGTTGTTTTGAGAAGTCAGGGTATTATGATTTGTGATGACCATAATTTATTAGCAATAGTTTTAGGTTTTCAATGTCCAAGTTCTGCTAAATTTTGATTATCAATTATGTTGGCATTATTGCATATGGTTCTCTTGGGCCCCTTTTAAATATGAGGAGCAGTTGCCTTATCTTCCCTTGCCATTTTCTGGAAGCCCAGTCCCCTAACATTGGGATAGTAGAATTAATGAAAAAAAAAAACTAATGGCTACATTCCCCAGTGAAAAGTCAAATCTTTAGTATTCTGTGTAAACCAACAAGGCACTTCACAGTTAATCATAGTAGCCCAGGAAGATAATGGTGATTATGTGAAATGGACTGATAAATGGCAAGACTTGCTGGTATATATTGATAATTGTGATTGTGAGAAGATGCATTAACTGTGGTCCTCCTACTAAGTATAAGATTTTTATAAAATATGAAGGAAGGAAAAAGATGTTAATTTAAATACCTTATTATATAGATGCATTAAAAATGTTGCTTTCCGTTTGTAGACTGAAAGATCATTGAGAAAATTGAGTTCTTATGTTTTTCTATCATCACCATAAATCTCAGTACCTCTTGTAGTAGTGATAAAAGGCAATATACTTTTCCAAGTCCATTAGGAAAGAACAGAGTGCTATGGAATAATTCATAAAGGATAGAAGGGTCTGGCTGTCAATCAGAGAGCTCCACAAGTTAAGGTCATTAGTTATTTAGCAGTTTAATGGATTTGAAACCTTTGGGAATGACTAGAAGATCTATTTCTCCCTGGAAAAATTCTGAAAGACAATCTTTAAAATGTTAAAATTTTCTAGAAATTAATTTTTAGAAAATACATCATATTAAAATTAGAGACTTTTTAATTCCCACATTAATTTGGATACATGTGTAATAGTAAGTATCAGCCACCCTGACAATATTGAAATACCTCTATTTTTCAGTGAGCTACAATATTTCAAAGAGATAGTTAGTTTTAGGAATAAAGTAATGTTGCCCTATACCTTTGCTGCCAAGAGATTAAATACTATCAGTGGACAAAATGGATCATGCCAAAATTTCATTTAGTCCATTGATGCTTTGGAGTTCTATATAGTGCAGGAGCTGTAATTGTGACACAGTCATAGAGAAATTAACATAATTATTTAATACATTCAAGACTAACAACTGAAAGAAAGAATGTCTAAGGTTGTCATTATTATTGTGGTACTTAATTGTTATTAAAACTGGACTTTTAAAATTTACTCAGCCATCTTTTTATTATATCTAATCTGACTATACTGCTTTCTCTACCTCTGATCCTCTTGGATACTTAAAACAAGTTGTGAATCAGTTGATTTTGCTGGCATTCCTTCTTCTATTTTCTTTGCATATATTGATTTTCTTCTTCTGTATCATTAGGAATTCATAATTTCAAAACAAATATCTGGGAAGAAGATCTAGAAAGGGAATAGTTATTAACAAGACTAGTAATAACATCACAAGAAAAAATTGAAGCATACGTCTAGTCTCACATTTGTAGTTCAAAGAGGAGATCAGGTGTTAGAGATGACTATGTTTTACTGAATTCCAACACTTGTTAGCTACATATATGCAAATCTGCTAGTTCATCATCACTTTCAAATGGTGATTTTTCTGAAATTAATGTACACAACAACTTGGTTTGTTAAAATCTGACTACTTTGACTGTAATCATTTGTTTCTATTTTTTAGATTCGAGATGGTCCTTTGCATCAGGACCCCATTCTTGGAAAATTCTGCTCCACTCTCTCTGCCCCACCACTGCAGACTACTGGCCCCTTTGCCAGAATTCATTTCCATTCTGACAACCAGATTAGTGACCGAGGCTTCCACATTACCTACTTAACATCACCTTGTATGTATTTTGATGAGTGAGAGCTTAGTATGGATGTGAAGGACAGTGCTGTGCTTATAGCTGTTCTGTATGTTGATGTGAGGTTGCAGATGACTTACATTTTTAATCTAATAACAGGTATTTATAAACTTTTTCTTGTAGTTACAGGTTTTTTTCTTTATCTCCCCAAAAGTCTGTTTTAAATGTTACAGTATTTATCAGTCCCTAAATTGTAGGATCCACATCTTAGTAACTACATACTGGACACTTAAACATAAATAATTCAGCCTTCAGCTGTCTATTATTCAGTTTTGTTTTGAGATATGTGATTCAGGTAGGAAAAACATGAAAGCTATGTCAGATCCATAGCTATTGTGTTTTTAACTTGCATTGATATTTTAAAACAAACCAACAAGTACGACAAAATACTCCATGGATTTTGCTTTAGCAGTATAGAGGATTTTGTTCACAAAATACATCATTATGCCTTAAAAATTTGCTATAGAAAGATCTTTTATGACTCAGTATCAGGAAAAATAACAATTGTTTTCACTGTTCCACTTCTCCATTTCCTTTGGTTGCAGGCTAAATCTACAATTGATCTATAATTATTGTCAGCCTTTTTATTGTCTGTGCATATCAGCTTTCCTCACAACATAAATATATTTAAAGTTGTATTTAAAAACACATACATGTATTTAAAAAATTGTAGAAGAGAATGTTAGATTGAAGTTAGAGCACACATTTCTACAAATAGGTCATAACTCTGCAGAATGATTAAAATGGATAGATGGTGTGTGTGAGTTCAGTTCCTGGGACTGGAGGAAAGGCTGTTTACCTTCTCTTCTTTTCTCTTCCCTGTACTCCATAGTGGATCTGCATTGTGGAGGGAACTACACAGACCCAGAGGGTCTTCTCTCTCTGGACTTACCTGGACCTTTTACAAAAAACAGACAATGTATCTATATTATAAAGCAACCCCTAGGAGAACAAATACAGATCAACTTCACCAATGTGGACCTGGAAAGCCAGAGTGGCTGTTCTCAGACTTACATTGAGGTAACTTTTACTATTCAATTGCTCTTCGATGATACTTATCAACCCTTTTATACTCTGTAGCACAGTGGTCTTTAAATCATTCTTATGTTGGCAGAATCCACATTATTTGAGTGATCTAACTGTTAGAAAGATAACTCTATACCTTATTCTAGACCGTCTGAATCAGCACCTTTAGGGCAGGCTCAGAAATCTGTGTTTTATTCTTAACTATGTGAGAGTTTGACAAGCAAATGCACTAAGGAACATGAAGGAAGTTGTCAAAAAAAAAAAAAAAACATTGGAGAGTGAAACAGAAGATTAGCAGTGGATTAGAGAAGAAATCCAAAAAGTGAAAAAGGAGACTAGAATTCAAATTAATGCAGTTACAAGCTTTTAAGTGAGCCCTAATAATTAAGTAAATGAAAGTATGACTAGAAATATTTGCTAAGAGTATACTGATGGCAGGGACTATACAGGACAATTTTGTTATGAGGAAATTCAACCTAAGAAGTAAAAGGATTTTCCAGGTAAACCAGCTAGTTAGTGGCAGAGGGTTAACTTAGAGCAACGAATAACTCTTATTTGGAAGTTTAGGGTTTTTTTCTTTCATCATTAGTTCCTATTATTTTCCTTCAGAAAAGTTACATTGATTTAAATGTGTATAATGCTTGTAATGAGGAGAATATCTGAAACAAAAAGACAGTTTCTGTTTTTCTGGTCTGGTATTTCTTTTGCTTAATTGTTGGTCAATTCGCAAATCAAAATGTTAGGCAAGAGAAACAAAAAAACTTTTTGTTGGGTGCAATTATTTTGTAAAAATCCAGAGAAGCTTTTACAGTTTGATTATGTAAGTCGAACTGTTACAGGGTAGGGAGAGAGGGGCACCACTGAACCCCCACACCTGCCCACTCTAAATAGGTTCTCCCATCCGTTGCATCAAGACGAAAAGACAAAGAATATAGTTTCTAAGTCAAATGTCCAATGTTATCCACCCAAAAGGGACTGGCTCAAAGCAGGCCTGAAAGCCCGCCACAAGTCTAAAGCACCTCTGACAGAGACTCATAGAAAAGGGTCAGAAATGGCCAGGCAAGTCTGGAGGAAAATCAAAATCAAGATAAATGTTGCCATAGGCAACCTCAACACAAGTCTCTCACCCACATCTATTTCACTGATTTCAGGGCTAAGAAACAAGAGCTGCTTCACATGTCTCTGCTCCATGTGGCTCCCTCAGGTTTCCTTCTGGCTCTCCATCCTGCTTCCATCCTCTTCAGTTTCCTCTTCAGATTCTCCTCCCTGCTCAGCTCCATTCTACTTTTTGGGTGGGGCAGGGAACCTGGAGCCTCCCCTTTTCTTGGGGACCACCCAGTTACAAAACCACTTCAGCTTTCCAGGAAAACCTATGCTAACCTCTTGCCCTCTTCCCACTTTCAGATGTAGAGTGTAAACATATAGGAATTTAATGTAAGATTTAGATTTAGCTGAAGAAGCACATTGGCCATGGGATTGTAGCAATGTTTTTCTAATCCAGAGGTTTTTGTCTCTAGCAATGTTTTTCTAATCCAGAGGTTTTTGTCTCAGATGATGAGAGGGGTGTGTATATTCATTCTGTTTATGTGTTCTGAAGTCTTTTATGATAAATCCCAGTGTTTTATACTGAAAGAAAGCCCTTTTAAATATTTTTATGTAAATAAAAAATGATATTCCCAACCTCTCTTTTATACTTAGAGATAGTGATAATAGCTCATGTTAGCATTATCATCACCAAACTTTACCCTAAGACTTTTAATTACTAAGACTAAGTAGATAATTACTGCACCTACTGTTATTCTTATTTTGACATCAGAAAACTGAGGCCCATAAAAGTTGTTCCTGGTTACATGTCTAGGGAATAGGGGAGCTAGGAATTTCAGTGAGTAGTTTGGATTGTACTGTCCTCTGATATGAACAGAAACACAGCCTTGTACAATAGCTATGACCACAGAGTTTCCTCTGCTTCCCTAGGGAGGAATCTCTCTTGAATTTTCCAGCTCCAGACTTGGCTCTTTGGTTACAGGACTGTGACTTGGAATCAGGCATAAAGCCTTTCTTAGGCAGAAACATTGCTACCTGAACATCTTTCTATTAGATTTTTAATGATGGTTTTAATGGCTTTAAAAAGTCATCAAATTACTGGGAATGATCCTTTGAGGCTTTGTATTAGAATTTCAGTAAGGAGTTATGTGAATACCTCTGAAATGGTCTAAAACAGTATTAGAAAAATATCTTACAACTAGCATTGAAGATTTAACCTTGCAAAGTGGCAGAATATTTTGTTGCCAAACAGAGATTGGAGATAATTTACCTAGATTCTTACATAGTTCAGTTATTTGATGGCTATATAAATGTTTTCTTAAAAAATTTAGTTCTTACTTCCATTAGATGCTCTACCCATTCCTCCAAATTTTGGGATAATAATTGAAGGAAATTAATGATAGAAGAAGCTTGAAAAAATATATATATATTTCAAGATTTTTCCAGACCAAACTTCCAACTCCTGCTTTTTACTTGTAACTTCAGAGACAGCTCGTGGGGGCCCTGCATTTTAGTTGACCATCAAGGGACCAACATCCTGACATATACAGCTATACAGCCAGGTTTTGGCCAAATGTCCCTAGAATTATTGCAAGAAAAGATGAAAGAACTCTTATTGTCAGAAGGACAGGTCACGAATAGTTATTTGAATAACTATTTTTTTTCTTTTTACTATATCCTTCACTATCCTAAGGGAATAAACCAGTTGGTTTATAAAATTTTAGCACCAACCAGATCATCAGATCAACTCATCTAAATCTTTAGTTGTACAGAAGAGGAAAGTGAGGCCACAAAGGTCAAACTCTAGTTATTGTCAGATTAGGATTTAGATGTACATACACGGGATCCTATTGACATTAAATGACTTAGATCAAAGCTGTTGCCATTAATCATCTATATATATCAGGGTGAACTGAGCCCATTAAACACACACACACACAAACACACAATTCATTGTTTGTCCTTCAGACGGTGAGGATAGAAGAAAGTAATACTGGAACTAAATTCAAATGACATCATTATGATGCAATATATTGCTTGCCAATTAGGTGGTTTCATTTTAAAGATATACCTAAAAGTGAAATATTTAAGCAAATAAATAAAAGAAAGAATGATGATAGTTCAAATACTGACTACCCAAAGTTTTGAAAAAATGAAGAATTGAGAGGGAATTCTAGGGAGCTGGGGGATGATGACAAGGACTTTTCTTTTAGTGTGAATGTATCTTTCTAATACATACTTCTAAGAATCCCAGATCTTCTTACTAGGTGGTTCCAGATGTCTTAGTGCCATGCAAATATTCCTTTAAAAATATTAATATGCTATTGCCTAATGTAGCTATTTCATATATTATGTGGTTTTGAAAGACTTTCTTTTTGTTTATTAAGAGCTCCATAAACATCAATTTGCAAATAAAATTCAACTATAAAAGATAATAAATGTGATGGTGCCCCTACCTAGTGTAAGCTATCTTTCTTTTACCTTTTAACAAGACACACATTTATATATTAATTCTTGAATTTCTATATTCCTCTTAACTGAATGTTACATGCCTAAAAACACTTTTTCTATGGGTGATTTGATATGGCTGTAACTAAAGAATGAGTAACCGTTAAAGTGTAAGTTCATCTGTTTTTGTCTAAGAGAGCTTTGGAATTGTATAGAACAGTTCAATGAATGTGACAGAACATCTTTCCAGAATAAAAAGCAGCACCTTTCATTAATATTTCATAAGTGATTTAAGCCATCAGAACTATGAGTGAAGGACAGCTAAGAAAGTAATGAAAATTTAATTTTTAATCCTAGAGAACACAAGTAGTAGACTGAATAATAATTTCAGAAGCTACATGATGCTAAGGCCTTAGCTTGAAATGGAATATGAGAGAAATGGACATAATTGTTCACCCACAAAATTTTATTGAATAATCCCAAGTTATCTATCCTTCTAGCCCCCAAAACTTTGGCAGAATGGAAAGGGGATATTGCAAGAGATAAAGGGAAAGGGGAAAAGAAGAATCTTCAGAAAAAACAGGAAGGCTTCTGAGAAAGTTGTTCTTTCTTAATAGTGAAAAGCAAGCAAAAATAAATGGCATGGAAAACTATAATTAATAAGGTAGGAAGAAATAAGTTATATTAAATTTGTTTTCTGAAATTAAGGAAATAATAGTTATTTAACAAGTGCCATTGAATCACATGTTAATCATTTGTAAACCTCTACCCAACCCCAGTAAATTGGTAAAACAGAAATTGTATACATCATACCTTGCAACTAGAAATTATAAAAAATCCAACTACCTGCAACTCTAAGATTTCACCTAAATAATAACTATAAAATAGAAAATGAAATGGAAGACTATACCAAAAAATCATAAAATACTTTATATCAAGATCTGTGAGATATGCTGAAACTCAACCTGCAGTTGAAATCTTTATTTTCTTAAAGAAAGCACCAAGACATTGGGAATATGGGAACCCAGCAACCTGGAACTCTGAAGGTCTGTCTTCTCTCTGAGCCTATAACCACCTCCTCACTCGATCTTTTCTTTTCTTCCCTTCATTCTCAGCTGACCTTCTGCACCATTCTCACATCTTTACATGAATTTGGTTTCACAGAGGTCCTCATTTTGTTCTTTGTTAGGAGTTGAAGCCATCCAGCTCCAGTCTTGGAGTGGTTGAGGGAGTTAATGGCTTTTGGTTTTCATGAACTTGCTTGAATTAAGCAAATCACTGCAGCAGGCAACCACACCCAAAGGCTGAAAAATATTATTTCCCAGTGAAGAACATTTTGAAATTAATTTTATTTCAAAGAAATATCTTTCTAGAAATGGCAAGGAAATAGATGTTGAGTAGTTTGTATTTTTACTAGCATATTAAATTTTAGGGTTTTGGCAGAGACTAGACTAATTTGATTAATTTCTTAACTCTGTTGCTTCCCCAATGACCAATGACTAGAGACATTCTGATGTGTCTTCTTTTTAAAGATTTATTTATTTTTTATGCATAAAGAACTGGGGTACTGGCTAGTGGGGTGGCAAGAAGATTCCCAGAGACAGAGTGGGGAGCAGAACAGGCAGATAACTGAGGTACACTGTTGAGGAAAGTAGCAGGTGAGCCAGGAGCCGTCTGCTGCACCATGTGATCATCTCCGGGGCCGGGGATCCAACTCACCCTGTAGTGGCTGTTGCTAGCTTGCAGTGCTATACTTTAACCCAGGGAGGGCCCAGTTTGGTGCTTTTTAATGAGGTGACAAAATATGCCATTTCTCATGTGAAATATTTCTTTAGGTAGGCATTGTAGGAACCAGTAAAAAGGAGCAGATTAGTAGGATCACCGGATCTGGAGTGTGAGAAATTATGTGGAGGATGTCCTTCTTTATGAAGTTTCTTGTTCACATTTTGACCACAGATCATGGGAACAGTTAAGTGGAGAGCAGAAAGAAGCAGCTATGGAAGGAGCATCAATCAAGAACAATATACTGTTAGGAGGTCAAATACAGAGCAATGACAGTGCTTTTTTTCTATAAATTAAAGCAATACTGCATGGATATATGATGAGGTTCTTCAGCTCTCTGTATTACTACATTTAATGTTAACATTTAATTTTCTCATGATAATAGGAATAGTATTATTTTCCTCAAAAGAATTGAAAGAGGTTATTAATTCATTTATCTATTCAGTCTCTGAATATTTGTCAGATAACTTATGTGTCAGGCACTGTGCAATGAGATGTGTGGAAAAATGGATATTAAAATAGATATTAATATTTATGTCATTACATAAAAAAGTATATAAGGACAATTACATTATCTCGACTTGGGGAAAGTATTGTAACAGAAAGAAATGGTACTCTGAAAGTAAATAGCAGAATAGAATGATTAGAAATAGCTTCCCTAAGGATGCAGTATTTTGGGTCTGAAGAAGAGAAAAGTTAGCAATGCAAAAAGTGCAAAGAATTAGACTAGCATGGCTGGAACCATCAAGGAGAAGCGACTAATAAGAAGGGCAGAGCTCAATCTTATAGGACCTTATAGGCCAAAGTAAAGAACTTAGCTTTGCTAAGTGAAATGGATGCAATTGGAATGTTTTAACAGTGTTTGGCACAGCAGTGGATGGTTACTAAAAATTAGGTTACTTTCTTGATAGAGATATCAGAAGGAACACTGCTTTCTGAGGTAAAATAATCTTTAATATTTTAACTTTGAAACCACAGTACACACTAGTGCATAAGGAAGAAGAGTAACCCAAGAAAGTTGTTTTTAGCTCCCTTATAGCTTCTCTCTGTTCCCTCATCCATTATTCCTTCACGTGCAATAGCACATGTTGTCCATTACTGTGTGGTAGCGTGTGTTTCCAACTCGTGGTTGGATGAAGCTAAAGTGCCAGCATATTTGATTTGTGCTGAATTAAAATGTGTATTTTGAACTTATTAGATTAGAAACAAACCTGTATACATAGTCAATACAAACAAATTATTGTGTGTGTTGAAATATGGCTTTGGAACTTGATCTGTTCCAGATGTTGAAGCTTTATACTCACTGGGCTCTAGGTGTTTATTTATGGTTTCATTACAAACTGTGATTTCAGTCCAGTTAATTTTAGCTCTATAGGAAATCACTTCTGCTTACACTCTATTGGGCAATGTGTCTGTGGCGAAGCTCACAATCTCGGGGAAGGATAAGTATTAAATTTCCATAGGGAGATGATGCAAACATACAACAATGAAGAATAGATGTTCCTTTTACAAGGAAGGATGTAAAGAACTGGAAAAAATGATGCAGTCTACCCTATTTCACAAGTACAAAGGAAAGAGGGTCTTTTGGTGGGGGCTGTACAGTGCAAATTTGCAAGGCCTAAAATACTGAATGCAGGATTTGCTGCAACAGTACTTGGGGTCACTTTAAAGGATTTGATGAATTTTATTTGAATGTCTTTTTCAAAGGAGTTGTGTTAAGCCATGTCTGGGATCTAGGGAGAATACAGACTTTCAGAATTAATAAGGTTTCATTTCCACACACACAGAGAGAGAAACACAGCCAAAATCAATTGTACCTTCTAGGTTTAAGGCCCTCGAGCCCTATAAGTTCCTTTTAAAACATTTGGACTGCAGCTGCCCTTCTCCTTGCTGAAGTCCTTGAATTTCATTAGTGAGTCCCAGGGGAATGACCCACTTTAGCTTGCTCTGATGCTGTTTTTCTTCCTTCTTGTCATCTTCTAATGGGAAAAATAGAATTGTGATACTACAATCTTAGTAGAAGTTAATGGAACCCTTGAGGATTAGAGTAGGAAGATATCTTACTCTGTGTTTCATGCTTCTAAGAACTCTGGTACGTCTGCACTTCTAAGAATATGGTGATGAGAAATTTCCTATTTGCTCAGAGATTTGCTATTTGTATAGAGAGATATAGCATAACTTTATGACATTGCCAAGTTTGTGTTATAGCTCATGGGAAGGATCTGGTTTGGCATGAGTCATTGGAAAGGCATTTGATTTTTAATGCCGTTGTAAGACTATCAAAGGCTGTCCCATAATTTATTTAACCACTCTTCTATTATTAGACCTTTGGCATATTTTCAATTCTGTAATTCTAGAATGGATTCTTTGATGTGGATCCTTTTGTTCTTTGTCTGCATCTCAAGTTAATGCTAACTAGAAATTGCCAGAATCATTATGAAGTTTCCAGGACAAGTGCAGGCTATGTAGGTGATGATTTTCTGAAAAAGTGACAAACTTCTGGCAGAGTTTCATGGAAGAAACAATAAATTTATTAACTTCTTGTGATTCATACTCTGCTTATATAACTGAGAAATTGAACATGCTTTGTTTCTAATAAATATGAATGCTAACAAACTTTTTGATGTACATGGAAATTTATTGATTTTCTTATTGGCTCTATTGATCAACTTAGTTTATAATTATTTTTTTAAAGATTTATTTTGATTTATGTATACAAGAATGGGGGTCTAGGCCAGATGTGCAAGGGATGAGAGTATTCACCAGAGACTCAATGTGGAGCAGAACAGATGGATCCACTGAAATACACTGCAAAGAGGAGCAGAGGGCAAGACTGAAGAGGTCTGCTGCACCATATACGGGCTATCTTTCTGGTGGGGGGGTTGAACTCAGGCCACAGTGGTGATAGCAGAAGCCGATTTATACTTAATTTCAAACAATCTTTGCATTACTCTTATTCTCATATATGATTGGTATGTAAGCTTAACAGTGTGTGAATTCATTTTTCTAGAATAGTGTCTTTCATATGTATCAACAGCAATAGGGAGATCTAGTCATATCTTCGATGTGTATTATCAACATTAGGTAAGCTAGTTGAATTTGGTAAGCTGGTTCTGAGGAAAATTAGTTGGAAATTGTTCCTTGTTTAAGAGTGCATTAGCACAAGTTATATGTGGGAGTTAGCTATTCTATACAAGTTTAAAATAACTTGCCAGATGGGGCATCTTCTCCAGATGGGGAAATTTTGGGGAGAAGATGATTATTTGATAATGTTTTCAATTTTATCCATTGCTTATTGCCTATTATCATTTTATTTTTCTCCTCAAGATAATTTTAGTAATTTATATTTTTTCTAGTAATGATAATTTTATATATTCAAATATATTAGCACAGAGTTGTATGTAGAAGTTACCACATTACATAAATTTATTAGTATCTGTATATTTGTCACCTGTCATTTTAAATTTTGAATATTTGTTCTTATTATATTTTCCTCATACAACTGCCAGAGATATGTATTTTATATCTTAATTCCCCAACCTTCTTCAGATACAGTTCTTTGATGTATTTGTGAATTTATTTTTAGTATTTTGTAATGATTTTGCTTTTGTTTTTAGATTACCCATAATTTTAAAGCTTTGCTCTAATTTTTTAAGTTGACTTTTTAAATTTTTAAGTCTCTAATTTTCTTAATCTGCTATTCTGTCTTTCAGAACAGTATTTACAACAAAAGTAGTTTAATCTATGATTACTTCAATGAAGATTTGGGTAAAAGTTGCATATTTTGAAATTTACTGTTTTCAATTTTTTTGTTTTTAAATAGTCCAAAATTGTACATTTATTTACTATCTCTTTGACATTGTTAAAATAACACAAAGTATTCTTATAATTTTGGGCTCCTTTTTTAAAAGATTTCTTTCTTTAGGCGTACAGAACTGGGGAACTGGGGTACAGGCCAGAGGTGCAGGGACAGTGCGAGGATTCACCAGAGACAGAGTGGGGAGCAGAACAGGCAGACTGATGAAGTACACTGCTGAGGGGAGCAGTGGGAGAGCCAGTAGAGGTCTGCAGAGCCATGTGGATCACCTCTGAGAGCAGGGATCAAACACACACTGAGGTGGCTGCAGCTAGCTTGCAGTGCTGTGTCCTAACCCATTGTGCCCAAAGGGAGGGCCTGAACTTATTTTGGCTTAAGATGTTATAAATATTTACTACTGTTGCATTGGCTAACAGTTATAACAATGACCAATTTTGTAGCTGCTTTTTCCCATCTCTAAATAATGCTGCCAAGATAATTTATCAAGTAATTTATTTGTTTATTGCGATTACAAATCTATTTTATTTTTCTGTTCAGGTTCGAGATGACCAAACCTTACTTGGAAAAGTCTGTGGCAATGAAACCTCTCATATCAAATCCATTACTAATAATATCTGGATCAGACTTAAAATAGACATTTCTGTTATGAAAGCTAGTTTTAGAGCTGCTTATCAAGTTGGTAAGAAAATTTGGCTTAAGTTTTTGTTGTCTAATTTTCTTGTTATAACATTTTAATTTCTTAATGAGATTTAGTTATATGTCTTCTAGGGGCAGGGAAAGCTTTCTGGTATCACATTTTATTATACTTTTATGCAGAATTAGAGTTTGGAATAAAATTGAAAGCTAGAATTATTAAATCTCTGAATAAACACTTATAATTTTCATATTTACAGCTTGTGGGGGTGAATTAACTGGAGAAGGCGTCATTCGCTCACCCCTTTATCCCAGTGTATATCCAGGAGAAAAGATCTGTAGGTGGATGATTTATCAACCCCAAAGCCAAGTTGTTGTCCTTAACTTTACTAACTTTGAAACTGGAAGTTCTTTCCACTGTGATACAGATTATATTGAGGTAAGAATTAAATGTCTTTGCACATCTGTATTTGGTTGTTTGTTGTTAAAATACTATATTATGTATTCTCAGATCAGTTATATGACACAGAACTAATTTGTACAGATCAGTATCACATATGGATATAAATGTGGAAATCTTCAGTGCAATACTGGTTAAGTGAATTGGACAGCATGTCAAGAAGACTTTTATGGCCAGTTGATTTTTGAAAATACTGCCAGTATGTTTCAATGGGGGAAATATTTTGACAAATATTGCTGAAAGTCCATGAAATCAGACCACTTTCTTACACCATACACAAAAATTAACTCAAAATGGGGTAGGTAATAGCCCCAAACATGGAGGTTACAATTATGAAATGCTTAGCAGAAAATAATGTCCTTGTATTAGGCAAAACCTTCCCTCAACTAAGTGAAAATGCATAAACAACAAAATGAAAAATAGAAAATTGAACTTCATCAGAACTAAAACCAAATAACCTGATTTTTAGCATGGTCAAAGTGTATGAGTATATATTTCTTCAAAATGATAAAAATATGGCAATTAATTATAAGAAAGATAGCACTGTCACCAGGGAAATACAAATTGACACTGCAGTGAGATACTGCTTCCATACATTGGAGAAGTCAGGTAAGATTTGATGGCATCCTCAGTGCTGGAGACATACTAGAGAGCATAAGAAATGATGCAGTCATATTGGCCTTCAGTTGGCATTTCAAGGAGTTAACCTAAACCTATCATTTTCCCAGCAATTCCTTTTCTAAGTGTGTATGCATGAGAAATGAAATATTTCTACACAAAAATTTATACATCAGTATGAATACAATAATTGTCATAACAGTCAAACATAGATACACTCTGAATGTCATCAATTGATAAATGTATTAATAAAATGTGGCACATGATCCTGTAATGAAATATTATATTGCATTATGAAATAATGAAGTAATGACACATGCTACAAAGTTTGTGAAAAAACTTCAGTAAAAAAGGTTTGAGGAGAATGGGGTCAGAACTGGGTGAGAAGAGTGCACTGGACTGTGGTGATGGCACACGGATGAATTGGTGGTGGGAAGCCCATGGGGATTACAACTGAGATAAAAAAAAATGCACAAAAAGAAAGAATGATGTATATGAATATATATATATATATATATACACACGCAGGGCTTGAAGAAAATGAGTAGTGTCTGCTAATAGGCTTGAGGTTCTTGAGGATTCTTTTGGGGTAACTAATAATGATCTGAAACTGTGTTCTAAAATTGTTTTCACAATAATAATAACATGATTCCAGAAATAATGACTTATAGCAAAATTATAAAATAAATACCTGAAAAAATAAATTTTGAATATATCTTTTTCACTTAGATTGGTAGCAGTACCATTTTGGGCTCTCCTGAAAACAGAAAGTATTGTGGCACAGATGTACCTTCATCTATAATGTCCATTTACAATTTTCTTTATGTCATGTTTGTAAAAAGTTCTTCTACTGAAAATCATGGTTTCATGGCTAAGTTCAGCACTACAAATTTGGGTAAGAAATTAACTCTCCTCCTTTGCTTCTTGGTTTTGTTTTAGAATAAGTATACAGTAAAATAAATTACTAAAGAAAATTCATTGGCAGTATAAAAAAGTTTTAAATGCAGCACTATGAAGCTCTCCACAACCACTGTAGCATGAGGGAAGTGACCCACATGACACAACAGACCTCTCCAATCTCGCCCACTGTTCCCCTCAGTAGTGTACTTTATGGATCTGCCTGTTCTGGTCCCTACTCTGTCTCTGGTGAATCCTCTCACCACCCCTGCACCTTGGGCCTAAAACCCAGTTATTTATGCATAAATAAATAAATATTTTTCAAAAAAGTTTTAAAGCACACTTAAAAACAAAAAAATGTATTTCCTATTCAGTGCATTCCAGTAGTTAGAGTCTATTAGTAAGAGAAAAATGGGTTAAGTGGCATTTAAGAAATTTTTTTGGGGGGGCTTTTAAAAGGTTATGATCAGGGGCCCTCCATGGTAGCACAATGGGTTAAAGCACAGCACTAAAAAGCTAAAGCCACTTCAGCATGAGTTCAATCCCCACCCCGGAGGTGACCACATGGCGTGGCAAACCTCTTCTGGCCTGCCCGCTGCTCCCCTCAGCAGTGTACTTTGTCAGCTGGCCTGTTGTGCTCCCCACTCTGTCTCTGGTGAATCCTCTCACTGCACATGTGCCTCTGGTCTATACCCCAGTTCTGTATACATAAATAAATAAATCTTTTTTAAAAAGGGGGTTATGATCAGGTTTTTTCAGTTTGATATCTGGGTAGCTTTTTCTTTTGTATTGATCATTATTATTATTTTTCAATAGTGTGTGGAAAAGTTCTTACAGAGCCAGCGGGAATCATTGAAAGTCCTGGCCATCCAAATACTTACCCCCATGGTGTCAACTGTACCTGGCATGTATTTGCCCAACCTGACTACGTGATTCATTTGATATTCAAGAAATTTCATCTAGAGTTCCATTATAATTGCACAAATGATTATCTGGAAATTTATGATACTGACCCTGGAACATTTCTTGGGAGGTAAGATCATTTTGTTTTTAAACAAAAGCTTCTACTTCAGTGAAGAATGTTAAAAACCTCCAAACCAGGTGACACAACATGTTCTTAAATGATTATTTCTACATAGCTCCTTTGTAGTCTTAGCCTGTAGTAACTAGTTTTTTTTTGATATGTGTATCCCTAGGAAAATCAAGATAATGCACATATCTATTACCTCCAAAAACTTCTTCCTACTCATTATAATTCCTTACATCTGCTCCTAATTCTCCTTCCTGGGAAGTCATAAACAAGCTATCACTGTAAATTAGTTCCCATATACTGGAAATGTATAAAAATGACACCATAATACTGTTTGTATTCTTTCTTTTCTGGCTTATCTTAACATATATTTTGTTCAGTTTCTCAGATCTGAGAATTTGTAGATTTATGTTTGTGACATTTTTGGCCACTATTCTTGAAATAATTTTCTGTCCCCCCTTTTCTTTATGAACCTGTGTGTATGTATGAAAGACCACTTGGAGTTGCCGCACAACTGACCCATATTCCATTCTTTTAATTTTGAGTCTGTTCTCAAGGTGTTTCGGTTTAAAGTTTCTATTGATATGATTCAAGTTTGCTAATATCTTCTGCAATGTCTTTTCTGTTCATACTACCTAGTGTATTATTTTTATCTTAGTCTTTATAATTTTTATTTCTACAGGTTAAATTTGGGCTATCTTTTTTGTCTTCCATGTTTATACATGTTAATTTTATCCTTTAATTCCTTCTTAATTCTATGAAATACAGTTATAACTAAGTCAACCCTATATTCTTGTTTTGTTTGGATTATATATTTTTCTTATTGTGGGTTATCCTTCTTTTCATGGCTGGTGATATTTGGCATTTGATGGAATGGTAGGCATTTTAAATTTAAATTTAAACCTCCCTGGTCCAGGATTGAACTTGCACTGCAGTGGTTGCAGAGAGATGCATAGTGCTGCGTCTTAACCCTTTTTTGCACTACCAGGGAAGATCCTCAAATTATTTTTAAAAGTTATTAGGGGATATTATTACTAATTATGATTACATTTGCATGTTTTAAGCTTTTGTATATCATTTTAAGTATACTAAAAGCATGCTTTTTCTTGGATTTAAATAGATACTGTGGAAAATCAGTCCCACCTTCTCTTATCAGCAGTGGCAACTCCATAACACTTAAATTTGTGGCTGACTCTCATCTCGCTTATGAAGGATTTTTAATAAATTATGAGGCAACTAATAAATCAACAGGTACCAAAACACCTCTATCTACTTCATTTACTCCATTACCAAATAAGAGTATGAGAATATATCATCTAAAACTTACAAATCTACTTACTATATAGGTTTCTATAGCAGGAAATGGAAAATTTCTTTGCAAAAATATACATTTCTAAATGACTTAATGAAATTGAAACATTTCAGCATTATTCCTTTATTGTATTTTTTGTTATTTAATTCTCAATATTTGATTTTTGTGAATACACCGTAGGTAGCAAATACTTTTTGCAAGCAGTATCTTTGAGATAATATGTGAAGCAGAAATAGTCCTGTCCTCAAAGCCTCTAAGGGACTTCTAAGGTGTCATGTTTCATTAGATTCTTGTTTCCACCCCAATGGATATCTTTTCAGAGAATTTGGATTTCCTTTGCATCATGTTTGGAAGGATATTTAATGGGATAAAGTACTAGCCAGTGTTGATCTATGGTGACCGAGCTTTCTAAACATTTCACAGCTTCTGGATTGCCCTCCAGTGGGTTGCTATGGTCCATTGATAATTTCAGAAATAATTAGGAAATTTTCTTTTGCCAGGAGGTAATCCTTCTGACATAACGATCTGTAAATACTCATCTTTTAAAGCTTCCACTCCCTCAGATAAATAGAAGTTAACAGAATTCCTGCTCAGAATTCCTATCTTATTGCTCATTTACTTCTCCTCAAAGCTGTTATTTACTGTGCTTTGTTTTAGGCAAAAATTGTTTTTCTCTGCATTAGTTGGATTCTTGTGTTTTGGACATGACTTTAGATTTTTCCAAAATCCTGAATTATATATTCTTTTATCCTTTGGGACCCTTCCTACGAGACAATTCATTATCTAAGTCTTGAATATAATTAATTGAATCCCTGGAAGTTACAATAGCAAAAAATTATCATGTACATACAATTTTCTATTATTTTGTAGTTTTATCTGCCTTATATGTTTTGCCCAAACCACACTGAATATTAGAGTAAAGATTTGGAACAAGTCACTTGAACTCTCCAAGCTACTGTTTTCTCATCTGTAAAATTAAGGAATTGGATTTGATGATCTTTGAGATGTCTTGTGGCTCTAATCAACTATGAACACAAATTTAATTTGCTGCATGAGTAAACTAGCTGTATCTTAGATCACATACCTTTCAGGGAGGGCTTCCTGAAAATAGCATGGTAATCTTTGTAGCACTATGCAAAGTAAGACATCTCTGTAATGACTCAAACTGCTCTGCCAACGTCACCTAACTGTGAGGCAATAACTAGTACTACCGAGAGCAATGGCAATAGTCTGGCAGGAGAATGTTGAATTTAAATTTTACTAAGAAACAAATTTCAGTAAGAAGGTGTAGTTAAAATAAGATGAGAAAAAGGAAAGAAGCAAATGTCCAGGGAAGCAAAGTAATAGAGAATGAGAAATCAAGAAATAAACAGTAAAAGAGAAAAGCATGCCAGGTGGCAGCCCCAGTGGGCTCCTGACCTCCCTCCTTGTGATTAATGTTCCTTTGGTCCAGGGCCAAAATCACAGATGACAGAATGTTCACTTTCTGTCCTTTGCTTTGGGTAAAATCATTGTAAAAGAAGAGTATGGAAAGGAGAACAGAACTCAATTATTTCTAAGTCTTCTGAACCATTTCATTTTGTCCTCACTGTCCCCTTCACCCAACCCACTACTGACCTTCAAACCAAATTTTTAGTGATTGTTTACGGTAATTGAATAGATCATACTTCTGAAAACTAAAGTGTTGTGATAGGTATATTGATTTGACCACATAACTTAGATTTTCTATTAATAATGTTTATTTTTTTAGATTTCAAAAACTTTATTCTGAAATGAAATCAGAATATTGGTACAAGTTGATGTAGTATACATTGCTGAATGGCTTATAAATGTAGTGTCAAATTTTTTCATTTTCTCTCTTGTGGTCTATTTCTTTTTACAGTATGCTTGGAAAGCTATACCGTTGGCTCTGGGACATTTACTTCTCCACACTTCCCTAGTAATTACCCTAACAACTGGAAATGCATTTACAGAATCACAGTGGAAACCAGCCAACAGATTGCATTGCACTTCACAAACTTCTCCTTAGAGGAGGCCATTGGTGGAGAATGTGTAGCTGATTTTGTGGAAATCAGGTAATCACCATTATTGTGAAATAGTCTTTTCATTATGTATTTTCATTCATAATCTTCCCTGGCAAGGTTAATGAAAAAATATGGGCATTCACTGTAAAGCTCCTTATTGCATGCTCTTTCTTGTTAAAAGATTAAGTTTAGATCCTGCCTGACTTAGTAGAAAAAAGATAAGATAGATTCAAGTGGGTTTTTTTAAGTAATTTTTTTTGGAATATTTGAAATAAAATCTAGATTTTATTTGGACAGATTAAGCATATATATGCCTAATCTACTACTTTAAAATTAAGATATTTGCTGCTATTCTTGAATATTTTCTTAATCCTTTCTTTTGTAATAATAATTTTGATTTATTGTTTTACTTGTGATAATACTAGGATTCTCCCCACTGCGTATCAGCACTGCATACTGGCCACCTGCTGTCTGCACACAGACTTAATTTGCTTGACTGTCCATTTAGTCTAATGATGCCACAAAAATAATGGCAAATAGGTTTTGTTTTGTGTTCGAGTAATGAAAGTCTAAGCTTATGAATTCCAGTTCAAGGCATGTTTTTCTGTAATTGTTTGGCACTTTGAAAGACTATATTTAGAAGTGATAGCTGCAGTAAAGCTAAACCAACGCGTATGTTGGTATTTCCTTGGATCATTATAATGCGTATCATTAGGCTAATCAGTTTGCTGTGTATCTGTGTCAAAACTTATTTAACATTTCAAAAACTTGGTATATTTTACCTTAAGTTTTATTCTACTATGTGAATGCTAAAATATTAAATCACCATTGTACCAATCATGCTAAAGCCATAATTTTCTTAAATTTTAGCAATTATTGTACATTGATGTTGAGTAAAAAGCTACATAGGACAAACTGTATTTAAGACTCCAAAAGTCATTGAAGAAATATTTTTTTTTAAGATTTATTTATTTATTCATACAGAATTGGGGTACAGGCAGAGATGCGGAGGGTGAGAGGATTCACCAGGCACAGATTGGGGAGCAGAACAGGCAGATCAACGAAGTACACTGCTGAAGGGAGCAGCGGGCGGGTCAGGAGAGGTCTGCCACGCCATGTGGTCACCTCCGGGGCAGGCGGGAATAGAACTCATGCCGAAGTGGCTTTAACTTCTTAGTGCTGTGCTTTAACCTGCTGCACCACCAGGGAGGGCTGAAGAAAGATTTTTTAAAAAAATTTTGCTAACATGTCAAATATGATGTGTTAACTTACAAAAATTTCAAATTAGAAGGAACTAAAGACTTTCCTAGAGGTTTCTTTGTAAAATTAATCAAAATTTGCTTATATCGTTAATAATAATGGTTTCCTCTTTCTCCTTCACATGTACCAGATACTTTGAGGGGGAAAACATCAAATACTTTCACTCACTTTGCCACTGGCTTTATAAAATGTCACACCAGTTATAAATTATGACTACTCTTTAATAAGTTGTTCATAGAGTGAAAAATTGAAAGCTTGAATTTTTAAAGGAATCTTTATTTTACTTCCTTTTTTTAAAGAAAAATTATTTTACTTCTTACTCCTCAGAAACCAGGTTAATACATACAAGTGTTTTTGCTGTTTATTTCTGAGTATGCTTGTTTTTTGGGAGGTGTGGTTTACCTTTTCTCTGAGAATTTGATCTGATTTCACAAAATCTTTTTCATCAAATCTCCGACACTGAGAGAAGTTGAGAGAAGTTGACTGACATAAACTGATGTTTGCTACCTTAAAGTTCAAATAAAATTAAATGTTTATATAATAGAATTGTTAATAACCTAAGCTATCACTTCTTTGTTTTGTCTCAGAGATGGAGGCTATGAAAATTCACCACTCCTGGGAAAATACTGTGGCTCAGTATTACCTCCAAGAATCATTTCTCATAGTAACAAACTATGGCTAAAATTTAAGAGTGACTCAATTGATTCAAGGTCCGGGTTTTCAGCTTCCTGGGATGGATCATTAACAGGTAAATAGCTATAAGCTGGGTCTTATTGGCAAGTCCAGTCTGATTGATGCCTTGCAGTCTGATTGTTGTCTTGATTCCATGCTCTTACTCATTTTTTCCTAGCTGTGTTTTGTCATTACTATTTCCAACAAACGTTGACACTATAAATATTTGAATTAACAGCAGCCTTTTATTAAAGAAAAGTAGGGGGAAATGTACTAGTTTCCTGATGTATTTCATCAAGTTGGACATCAAGGTTTCGATAGGGAAAGTTCATCACTTAATTAGGATTAGAGACAAGCTAGTTTTTGGTGCTGCAGTTTTGTTTTGCAACTTGGTTAAAGGAGAGTAAATAAATGACTTATGTCCTTCCCTCTCTGCCCCTGTAGGTTGTGGGGGCAACCTCACCACTCCCACTGGCACATTCACATCTCCCAACTACCCGATGCCCTATTACCACAATTCTGAGTGCTTCTGGTGGCTGAGATCCAGCCGTGGCAGCCCATTTGAACTGGAATTTGAAGACTTTCACCTGGAACAACATCAAGATTGCACTTTAGATTATCTGGCTGTATGTATGAAATTTCATTGCATCATTCACTGATCTCATCTCACCCACATATAATATGTTCATTTTTGTTTCTGAGATTTCGGAAAGAGAAATATTTAAAGAAAGCATTCACACAAAAAGTTTTAACAAAGTAAAAATTTAATCAGAGGAAAATTTGAAGACTATGACAACCTAAGAACAATATATATGTCTAAATAGCTTGACACACTAAGCGTTTACTATAAATTGAATGTGGACTATTATGATGTGGTTAATTAAAATCTCTGGAAATAAGTGATAAGATTTACCCTAATTATTATCTATATTATTTCATTTATGTATTGAAAAATAATAATTTGGTGGGAACTTTTGGTGAATTAGAAAATGTAATTGAATCATTCACCTATAACTTTTTTCATACCAGCATACCACCTATAACTTTTTGCATACCACCCTTGTCAGTGAAAAAACAATCTAAATTAAAAAATCGTTAGGCCTCCTGATGGAACAGGGGGTTAAGTCTTACCACTATCAAGCTATCACTAGCCATTGCAACCTGAGTTCGATCCCCAGCCAGGGTTTGGTGCAGCAGACCTCTCCTGTCTCACCTGCTGCTTCCCTCAGCAGTGTACTTCAATAGATCCTCTTGTTCTGCTCCCCACTCTGTCTCTGTTGAATCCTCTCATCGCCCCCACTCCCCACCTATGGCCTGAGGTACAGTTCTTGTGTGCATTAAAAAAAAATTAAAAATGTGTTAAAGTGCCATAAATTATAAACTATGAATCAAAAAAATAAGGAGAACTACTGATAGCAGCTCAAAAATATGTATTACTCTTTCATTTTCAAACTTCAATTTCCACCTGGGCTCATACCCTTGCCACAATACACATCCAAAGCTAAATGGCACAGATTTATTCCCCAAGTTATAGTTATTTAATATAATGTTAAAAGACATTTTAATCCAGGGTCTTCTTTTATTATATCATATGTATATATGTAAATGCCTCTTATTAAGGATTGCAGAGATCTTTAAATGACGCTTAAAACCACAACCATCTGACATTTAAAATATTTTCTTGAAGGTATACGATGGCCCAAGTACCAGCTCTCATCTGCTAACTAAGCTGTGTGGGGATGAAAAGCCACCTCTTATCCGTTCTAGTGGAGATAGCATGTCTTTAAAACTGAGGACAGATGAAGGTCAACAAGGAGGTGGCTTCCTGGCCAAATACTGGCAAAGTAAGTATGTACTTTCATTGGTGCCTAGAGAGGCCTTCAAATGCTGAAATGAAACAAACCAAAATAAATATAACCCATTGGTTTGAGCAATTGAATTAGTTCTTAGTTTCTCCTGAGAAAAAAAATTGATTGCATTTAAGGAAGAAAGACTTATGGATTAGATTTAATGTTATTTAACTAAAGTACATGATAAGCTATAGAAATTTAAAAGTAATATTTTTCCACCTGTATTCCAACATGTGATTTGCCTGCTAGTTTTGTCTTTATTATTTTCTGACCCTTTGTTAGTTTTCCCTCTATTTCACCTATAAAGTGAAACCGTCTGATATTTTTTGACTTATTTCACTGATTATAATCCCTTTCAGCTTCATCCATGGTGCCATCAGTGGCATGAGTTTATGCTTTTTGATTGCCAATAGTATTCCATTGTGTATCACAATAGTATTCCTTTGTGTATCACATCTTCTTGATACATTCATCTATTTTGGACATTTAGGTTGCTTTCATATTTTAGCTATTGTAAATAGTGCTGCAATAAACAAACACAGATGCCTTTTCATGTTTTTATGTCCTTTGGGTAGATCCCTGGGAGTGGAATTACTGGGTCATATGATAGCTCCATTATTAGCATTTGAGGGTCCTCTACACATCTTTCCATAGTATTTGGACCAGTTTGCATGCCCACCAGCAGTATAAGAGGGTCCTTTTCTCTCCATATTTTTTGAGGTAGTATCTCATTGTGGTTTTAATTTGCATTTCCCTAATTGTAAGTGATGTTAAACACACAAGTTCCCTCCCAACTCTAGAATTAAATGCTTCTTTAATTTTTTTCTTTTTAAGATTTATTTATTTATGTATACAGAACTGGGATACAGGCCAGAGGTGCAGGGGCGGTGAGAAGCTTCACCAGAGACAGAGTGGGGAGCAAAACAGGCAGATCGACGAAGTACACTGCTGAGGGGAGCAGTGGGTAGGTCAGGAGAGGTCTGCCACGCCATGTAGTCACCTCTGGGACAGACGGGAATCGAACACATGCAGAAGTGGCTTTTAGCTTCTTAGTGCTGTGCTTTAACCCACTGTGCCACCAGGGAGGGCCGCTTCTTTAATTTTTTTAATAAAGTACCATTGTTTTACATTTTGTTAATATTTTGACAGTACAGGATATCTCCCCTTACTTGTGGTCATTTTAGCTCTCACCACCAGATTCTCACAATCCTCCACCATAGTCCATTGTGCTCTTAAAACTACTTTTAAAATGGTCATTCCAGAAAACAGATCCAAGAAATATTTTTCTTGTGTAGTGAAAGAACAAGTTCCTTGTTGCACTAAATCTAAATTTGTACATTTTGACATACTGACATGCTGTTTATTCTTCTGATGTTTACTTTTATAACTTCAAAGCAATGAAAGTAGAATTTAATGCAACTGGGATATAAGTTCCTAGGGGTAAAATCAGAGCTAACTGGTGATATTTTCAGTAAAATGTTTGCAGATAATATAAATTCTGATATGCTTTAATTGAATATATTTTCCTCTGTTCTCTTTGTAGCCATTGAGGCACTTATTACCTTTCTAATAGGTCTAACTATTTAGAGGCATCAAAACAACAAAATTATTCTTTATAAGTCTGTTTTGGATAAAAATGTGTTAGAGGTTTTCAAAGGGAAATAGTTTAAATATCTTCCTGATTAAGGAAATGTAGGTTTTGAGAGCCACAAATGTATACTTTTCCATACCAGAATTTATTAACGGTGCTGAATTTATTCCTAGCCACCTACCAAGAAACAGTGTTGTAATAGAAATGTGTCTGCCTCATTTTTCAGATATAATTCTTTCAAAATAACAATTATTTACCCATTCCCTTATTACACATCAAAAAGTGTGAAATAACTTGGAAAAAGGGCAGGCACATGTATTGTTAAAGTTCTCAGGTTTGCTTGAATCCAGCACTAGTTTGGCACTGGCTTCTAGAACTGGCCATACCTTAGCCAACTAGTGTAGTTTTGTTGAAAACTCAGCTCAAGAAAATGCCACCTTCAGATTGAAGACTTTTTGATAATCTAAGATTTTTTTCTTTAAATTCTTTACACTTCCTGTATTCCCTTGGTACTTTCTGATAACTAACTGGAGGAGTAATGGAGACTTTATTGTAAATTTCATGTTGACTTTTGGATGTTCAACAATGCCATGTTATTTTCATTTTTAGCATTCACATAGGACTTTGCGTTTTTAAACTGTTGTGAATTTAAAGGTCAGAATTTCTCTTCCTTTCAAGTGTTAAATTTAAAAGAAGCATAGAATGTTTAATATACTCTCAAACAAATTAGACTGGTCATGAGTAGTGATAAGATATTCTACTTTCCACCGAATGGAAAGAAATTAATGGCTATTTTAACACAGGCAATTTTCATGCCACTATTAAGTTTCTGAATTTATTTAAGTATTATATGCATGCATATACATATATATGTATATGTATTTGTGTATATATGTGCACACACAATTTTAATCCAGATGTTTCTTTTTTTTTAATTATTACAAAAGTTTATTTTTACATCATTTTGCACATTTTTTTCTTTCCCATCTCGATTGTAATCTCCGCGGGTTTCCCATCACCAAATCACCCCTGTGCCACCACCATAGTCCC